GAAGAGCTTCTCGAAGATGATGGTCTTGACTTCTTTTCCAAGGTCTTCACTCCTTTGTCCTTGGCCCTGGACGTAGTCCGAGGTGCCTGAAAACCAGACGCTTCGGCTCGTCGTTCGGGAGCCTTGCCCGTCCTCGAACCTGTGGATGTCGGACGCGAAGGCGTAGATGCTCTTGGTAGACTCTTTGCTTTCACCTTGGGAACTGCCTTTGCAATGGCAAGCGCAGAAGATTGACCTTTGTCATCTTCCGTGGAGCTATCAACGGATTGCACCACTGTGTCATCAGCTGTTGATTCACCAACGGCTGGCGCTGCCACATCGGCACCGAAAGTCATTGTCGTATCTTGGCTTGATCCCGAGTTCATTGTGGTCGTAGTAGATCAAGTAGTCGTTGCTGTAGAAAGGCAGAGCCGCGTACGGCTGATAACCTGCGTGGGGGATTGATCTCGACTAGGTTGCTGCTCTCCCCACCAGAGCTGTAATGAATGTAGGTGTGGCTGGCTTGCACTCTCCACAGACTGGACCCTGTCTCTCTTACACTTCCACACGTGCAATCCTATGCAGGCAGAACCGGCGGCCGTTCCTTTTGCACTCACTGCCGGCGGCGGTTCGTCTGTGCAACGGGATAGCTCTGATTGCTCAGGATAGAAGACACTTATAGCACTTAGCTATGGGCATTGACTTGAGCCAAACGTTGCGTGGGCGGTCACATAGAAAGGTAAAGATGAGGGACGCGTAGCGTGCCCCCTTAGAGTCGAGGGACGCGTAGCGTGCCCCCTTCTCTTGCACTTTACACGGTCTTGCTCACAGCTCTTATAGTGACACCTTAGAACTTGACAAGGCATCGCAGTCCGTTCGCAAAAAAGCAGATAAAACATACCGTATGTACCATACACACCACACATAACACTGCGCATCCGGAACGTGACGCATACATGCATGCTGGGATACAGGCACACATCCATCCATACATACACTTTTCTACGCATGTATGTATGTATACATACATACATACTTGTCACTCGCACTCGGCGAATCAGTGAAGCACGAACAGTTCAGTCGGGGAGTTCCTGTAACTCTAGAGGCTAGATGTCCTGTTCATTGACAAGCGACTGAATTTGTTGCTACAGGCGCCAGCTTCAGGCTTGTGATTTCTGAGCGAACAGGACAGATCGGCCGGCGATTGGGAGGTGGTTTAGGGGTTTAGGGTAAAGTACAGTAAGGCGGAATAAATGAACCCGCTGCAGCTCTCTTGCACCGGCCCGGGCGAATCTAGAAATCTGGCTAGTAAAACTTCAACTGGCATGCAATGAGGAGACGACGAAACAAGCTTGTGATTCAAATACTCGCATCAGCGACAAAGCGGGTAAAGCTCAAGCTCAAGTGTCTTAGGACGTTAAACTCTGCAGTGCCTGCACCCCGCACCACAACCAGGCATCAGAGCAAGACGTGCGTGCACGCAACTGACGACCCGAAGACGCCAGAACGAAACAATGCAAGAGCCCTTCCAAGCAAAGGAACTGCTTGGGTAACTGAGGAGCAGGCCATGTGGGTACTCACCTGACAGAAGCATGGAAAATCCGAGCAAACGGCACCATGGCACACACTTTCTATTAGTGTTGTTACTACTTCTACCGTATGTCATTGGATATTGGCATGGTGGCCAGTCTCACACATCTTGCGAAGCGCTGACTGGCCCGGGCGAGAGCCCGAATACAAGGTGCCAGGCCAAGAAAAAATCACAAGCAGCAACGGCCGAAAGCACAAGAGGCAAGAAGTTCCCGTTGATGGACCGTTATATGAACGACAAGAGGGAAAACAAGAAGAATACTGTGAAGATGACAACCGCACAGTACATTGGTGTAGGGTATGTCCCCACCCCCACCATGTTCCTGCCCGCCCCAGTGGACGACGTGCTGCTGCGCATCTCCCCTGTGGTTACTGTCATGGATGCAATGCCGGTTCCTGTTCCTGAAAGCTTGAGTTCGGTGGTGCTTTGACCTGAGAGGGCCTCATATACATACATGTCTATCTGCCAATCTGTATATGTATCTGTATATCTTTCAAACTGTCTGCGTGTCTACCAATCCGTCGATGTACCTTTTGCTGCAGGCTTGCTTGCAAGGACGCCTGGTAGTTTGCCGTCGATGCACCTAAAATTCTATCTGTCTGTCTATTTGTCCGTCTATCTCTTTCCGTACTGACGCACATACTTCACACCTTCAATTACGTCTGCATGTACACACCGTGGGTACACATCGAAAGTTTAGGAAAAGTCTCCATGTCTCTGACATGTACGTCCGCTGAACTGTTCATGCTGGGACCGCCGCCAAGCTCCAGCTATGCCATCATGTCAGGAAGCTACAGGTGACACCCTATCAGGGAGCAGCTCTTCGCTTTGTGGCTGCGGCGCAGGATCGGATTAAAGTTCAGGACAGACGGATGGCAAGGGTTTGGGCTTAGGTGGTGGGCATCCCACAACATCTGATCATTTGCTGAAAACTACATGCTCTCTTGCCGTTCAACAACTAGCTGGACACGCATCCTACCCAGGTGTACATGCAGGATATGGCCGGGTGTATTTGGCGACCTAGCTCAGGCACTCATGTCCAAATTCGAACGAAGTGTGACGTCCTGCAAGACTTGTACGATCCCTGTTAAGTCCCGTGAAACCAAGTACACACATGAACGCCGTCACAATCGTTTCGTAGCCCAGCATGCAGCTTTGGGCTTGACACTTGCAAGCTGGCTACATCGCATCGCTCCTGCGCAGGCCCGAAGAAACCTTCCGACTGTGCAAACCTTCTGGATAGAGACCAGATTCGGGGGATATGTTCTCCGTTCGGAAAACCAGTGAACGATTTCACCGAGCCGGCAACTCTGAGGATATTACTACCGTCAGACGTCAGACACTGCCTTGTGACGTGCCGAATTAATGACTTCCTTTGATCCAGCACGTGCTTCCGGGGAGGCAGTCAGCTCAACTGTCAACTCCATCTACAAGACCGGCCGTCATTGAAAACATTCGCGCTATAGACCACTCATCCCTCAGGGAGTTGTGGGCCGTAATATAGGGGCCTTAATAATTTGAATAGGGTTTTGGGGGCCCCTTATACTATAATTACAAGCAACCCCAAAGTATTATTGGTAATTTTTAAGGCCCCTATAGTATCATGTCGCATACTGGTAGCACTTGAAGGTGATGGTGTCTTCCAGCAATTGCTGAAGCATCGCCTCGACGGCGTGTTCGAGTTCATTGAAATAAAGAACTCACAGAAGCAGCAGATGTAGTAGTAATAATAATAATAATACCTTATAATAAAAACCGATGCATAGTCATAGTGGTAATAATACCGTATGGCAATATAACAAAGGATTCATGTTCAGAGTAGTAACAATAGGTTTAATTGTTATACTGCCTACGATAGTAGTCATAGTGGCGATAAACCGAATGGGGAGCCTATCATGCCTTTCTCCATGTTGTCCATGCTAGTTATCCATGCTAGTTAAAAGCCACCGCATGAGGGCATGCTGAAAGCATTCAAGAAGAACAAGCACCCGATTGCCGTTGACACTCTCGAAGTTACTCTGTACCCTAAAGCCCAAACCCCTGAACCCTAAACCGTGAGCCTGTGTCGGCCACCCCACAAAAGACGAACGAGCAGACTCCCCAGCAGCTTCGGCAGTGAGGTACAGTAGCAACACTCGTAGTACCACTATGACTATTTTATACTTACTAACGACACTATGAATAAGCATATACCTACTATTGCTATTTTTACCCCTTATAAACACCATTACTACTGTATCTACTGTCTCACTGCTACTGCTCCCAAACCCATTTTTGCTACTGGACTTGACAAACCCTAAACCCTAAACTAACCCCCAAACCCCTTTTGCAGAACCCCACTTAAAGGATCATGGGACTTAGTAAATAGGGGTTAAAACCCAATTAAGGTACTTATAACCTTACTTACTAACTCCCATGATCCTCCATTACAGAGCCCTTTAAGGATCCCTTTAAGGAGCCCTATAGGTACCCTTAAAGGAACTACTAAGTCCCATGGTCCTCCCTTTGATGCATCCGACCTCGAGGCTGCCGGATTCCCCATTGACCTGCGCCATGGTACTTGGAGGATCATGGGAATTCGGAGTTCCTTTAAGGGTACCTATAGGACCTATAGGGCTCCTTAAAGGGATCCTTAAAGGGCTCTGTAATGGAGGATCATGGGACTTAGTAAGTCAGGTTATAAGTACCTTAATTGGGGTTATAAGTATAGTTACCGTAATTATAACCCTAGTTACTAAGTCCCATGATCCTTTAAGTAAGGAGCTCAGGGGCCACCAAACACTTCTTGGGGTTTCGACTCGCGGGCTCGCTTCTTAGGGGTTTAGGGGTCTGGGGTCTAGGGGTTTTGGGGCTCAGGGTTTGGGGTTTAGGCGGTTTAGGGTTTACGCTCTCGCAACTCGGACATGCCTGACGGTTTAGGGGTTTGGGGTTCTTCTTCCGGTCAGAGCTCTGCCTTATTCTTGTTCTCCTTGTCCTTCTTGCAACTCGCAGGTGGATTGCGGTAGATTACAGTCTATCGTCGCATGTTCTGGTAAATCACAGATGCAATTGACGGGAGCTTCCGAAAATAGGGGACCCTCATATAGCACCACAAATAATAGGATCCTTATTATAAGGACCCGACCCCAAAATAACGTACCCCTACATTGACAAGTCCCGTGATGGCGAGGATAATGAAAAGCTGCTCGCAGTCCGCATGAGAATTGCAACAAGTTGTGTTGTCGATGCAAAGGGAGCAGTGCAGACTTCTACACGAAAAGACATGCAAACATGTCAATGTTTGCAGCATGTTTTGCTGCACCTGCATGCAAAGTGAATCTCCGCAGCCATCCTTTCTTTGATCTGCTGTTGTCCTCTTTTTGTCAATACACAATATTACACAACCAGGCCGAAAGACCTCTGATCCGTATCTGCCCATATATTTACAGCTTCAGCACCGTGTTATGGCCGTCGCAAGTGTGTTCTCCAGTGCCTGGATGATCCGGTCGTGCGGCTTGAGATGCGTTTCGGCATCGGCAAGATTCCTTCACGAGCCCATTTCAATGACTTGTTTCCAAATCATTCCTTGCACTGTGCCAAAGCCACTTGTTCAGTCACGCGGCACAACCACGGCTCAAACTTCATTAGACGGTGCAGGCACGAGGTTGCTTGAAACTAACCCTATATAAAAACCTTTTGCATCAGGACTTCTGCAATCGGTCCTGACCCTTGTTGCATAACCTTAAACCCTAAACCCCTGATTTCCCCAAGTCCTAAATCCGAAACCCTTGATAGCTGACAAGGCTCTTCTTCATGAGCACGCCATTCGCTTCCTGGACGCGACAAGCTTGGCGATCCGGTCTTAGAGGCTCAGCTCATAAAGCTCAGGCTTACACGAAACAGGTTGCTTCTACAGTATGTGTATGTACATACATATATGCATGTATGTATGTGTATATATATATATATATATGCGTTTTTCTATACCTACAGATCTGCAAATACACACACTATAAATACGCAGGTCTATGATGCCATGAACCTTACCCAAGATGGGAGGCCAGGCCTGAAGAAGGCGGTTCTTATGACTTCTACACTATGTGGATATGTATGTATATATGTGCAAATACATATATATGTATGCATATGTGTAGGTATTTATGTGTATATATATATGCACACCACACACTATGATCTAAATACAGCTTAAGAATGATTGCAAATTTATACGAATTCTTCTTGTTCTAATTTTTCTGTGATTAATACTACTGCGACTATTAGTACTATTGCTACTATCGTTCTTACTGAAAATAATGTTCTTAATTATTATTGATTTAGTACACACAGATAAACATATGTATATACGCACATACATTTATATTTATATTTATATCAGTATATAAAATTTATATACTGATATATAATTATAAGTGTGTGTGTGTGTGTATGTGACGCGTGTGTGTGTGTGTATGTAACCACGTTCAGCATGAACGTCTGGCTTTTATGCTTTCCAAAGCTCCAGCGACTTCACCGGCAAGCTCCGAAGAACTGTTTGCGACCTCGGCTGCGCTCACGCCGTCAAATCCCACAGCCACTCGTCCTAACCAAAGCCTGGAGAGTTCTTTGAGCCAGTGTGTCTGTATGTCTGTGTGAGCGTGTGTGTGTGTGTGTGTGTCTGTAGCAAGCAAATCGAGCCAACTGTTGCTTCGAGCTGCTTCAACTTCTGGAGAATCAAGCCAAGCTTTTGGCCAAAGCGACGCACTGAGAACTCCTGCAGCCGGTTGCAAAAGGCTCTCAGCGCATCAGCTGTTGGAAAGATCCCAAACCGTGCTGCAGGACAGGCTGAACATATATGTATATATATATACACACACACACACTCTAAAAAACAACCATATTAAACATCTAAGAAACTAAAAAAAAGAGCGCGAGAGAGAGAGAGAGAACGGGAATGTGGCTGGAGAGGCCGGAAGTCCTTCAGCTGAGGTCGCTCGAAGCCCAGCTCCACCGAGCCGCTCGATGCTTCGATGGCCCTCAACATCTCAGAGGAGCTCATGAGACCAAACTTGCCGACCTACCAGGGCGGCTTAGGGTTTCTTCGGGCTCCCGCCGATTGCGTAGAGACCTGTCGGATCTGGTATGGTTTTAGGGTTCCGGGTGTCGGATTTCGACTTTACAGTCTCTTTACAGTGGAAACTGAATAGAATCCTTCGAACAAAGACCTGAATGTTGACAGAAAGCAAAAAACCTCCACCACGCGATCGTAGGGTTGGATCTTCGGCTGAGCAGTTTGATTCCACTGCGATGCTGCTCCTCCATCAGTCACCCTTTGGACCAACAGCACGTTGGAGTCAGATGCATCGTACTTCAAGCCAAAGCCATCTTCGAGCTTCTGCAGCTTCACTTTGAACACCCTTTCGGCGGGGACTTTCCTCACGTGCCGGACTTCCACGGGTAGACCGGGCTGTTGTGCATCACCGCACAGATTCAGTGTCTCAGCAAGCCCTAGGCGTGGGCTTTCACAGATGCCCTTCAACACGGTTAGGCCATTTTCTTCACGAGTGCAGCAGCAGAAGTCCAAGGAACGCCTCAGCTGAAGCTGAATTTCCAAACTCTCACCGAAGCCTCACTCAAGGACCGACACACAAGACCGTAATTTGCATCTTCACACCCTTGGTATGTAGCGGTCGCCCGAGGTAGCAGAAGAAGTGGCAGCAGGGAGCAGCAGTGGCAGCAGTCGTCGTTGTCGTCGCGGCAGGATGCACGAGGCCTGCACGCGTTCTTGCCTGACATTTTCGCGCATCTGGCATTAGCCTGGCAAATATTTCTTGCCTTGTCCTCCGAGCCTCCAGGCCCCCCCCCCCCCATACAACGTCCACTCCCCAGAACCTCCCTTTCGCGTCGCTGCCACATACTAGTACTATTAACACGACAGACTTGGCACAAGAATGCTGTTGCATCCAGGCGGCATGGAACGGCTGCCAAGCTCAAGACGATGTCAAGAGGGCTTGAGCAAGCACTCTGAGGTTAGATGTGCGACACAAAATTTCCCGCGGCCGAGCGACGGGATGACCATATCCTGAGTCCTTTACTCCTGCCTGCCTACCTTATACACGATGCTTGTCCTCGTTTGCGGTGTTACTACAGTTGTGATCACTGGCTCGCACGAGCCGGGGTTTACTAAACCACTCTTTAGCAGTTAGCAACTAGTGGCGAGCACAATCCAAACGATCAGAATTTTTCCAAACCTGGTCTTCTTGTCGGACCCGGGACCCGCGCCCTTAGCCCTAAAGAGTACTGGGGCGTTTCCTATCATGCTGGCTATCGGCACTGAGTCAGGGCACACTGAGCGCATGCATGCTTTTGTTTCTTACTGTACTTCGGACATATCGAGAACACCACGCAATACGATTCGTAAACGGTGGCATGAACCCACATACGATTTCATGGAAAACAGGAATAAATTTCCCTCAGGGCGGATCTGCAAACAACTCTAAGGGGAGGGGAGGATGAGCAAGAGCTACTGCTGCTGCTGCCACAACAACTTTGAAACCTGCCTGCAAGCATGCATTCCTAAGTTACCAGGATTCAAGCCGGATAACTACGGTGTACAGTCGTACCTGACATGGTGGTGTATATAACAGTAGCACGGTTCCACGTCAACATCGAACATCGACCCCCTTTGACCCGCTTTGGCATGTACAGGCTACGACCGTAGGCGGCGGCCCAAGCCATGCAAGGGGGATGCTCTTACTCGCATTAACATTCGGAGGAAGTGCAGTTCAAGAGCTTGTGATGCAACCCATAAACTAAACCCCGTCTGTCTCAGCTGCGAATGGAGCATTGACCTTGCAGCTATGCTTAGAAATCCTAGCCGCTTCATGGGCCAGCTTGCGTTTGCAAGCCCACCCCCGCGATGACACAGATTCTTCAAGGCACCAATCAAAATCAAACAGCCTAGCTATGCGCAGGAAGCTGGCTATGCGCTAGCTATGAATCCTTGTGCCTGAGAGAAGCCAGCCTCGCGCCCAGCACAATGAAAAAAACAACCTACTACCTACGTGCACCAGCTTTTTTGAAAAGCATGCTGGCAAACTACTCTGCTAGGTGGAAGGTGCGACTTCGAGCACGTGACGCTCAAGAGCTCTCATCCTACATCTCCGACTCCTGCGCCCTACCAAACTCTGACGATGTGAAACCCTAAACCCTAAACCCTAAACCCCTAAACCCTAAACCCTGTCAACACAAGACCCTCTCACCACGGAGAGATCTCATGCTTTGGGCTTCGGCTTGTAATTCTCCAGGACCTGGAACCTCGCTGGCTTTGGACTTGCTCGGGGATCTGTGGCAGGTGCAGAAAACACATAGCGTCTATTACATTACACTGTATTATATCATAGCACATTGTAGTATATTATTGTACGCTCTAGCATTATACAGTATGGTATGTCATACTACAATAACATTATATGGATGTGATTGGAAGTGACATCACTACCGACGGGACATGACGAATCAGTCTCGATGACTTCTCCGGGGCCACAGCTCGTTCACTGAGATGTCGCCGTCATCGGATCCATCTAGCAGAGCGAATATCACCCTGGGCGTGGCCGAAAATCTGTACGTTTCCGAGTGAACTTCAGTCCGGAGTGAAGGGAAGTGACCGATCGATCAGGCAATCCGAAAAACATCTAGGCATGCCTGACACACGCGCATGCCCCTGCGACAATAGCTTTCACCCACGTAATGCCCTAAACCAAAAACCCTCGGCCCTACACCCTCTAACCCTTTGTGAACCAAGACTCTGCTCTGGGAAGCAACACGCCCCAAACCCCAAACCCTTTACCTTAAACCTGAAAGCCTAAGAGGCCCTCACCCACAAACCCACCGAATCTCACGTTGGTAAAGAAGGCCCTACCCTACAAGGCCCACCGTTGGCTGAGGCTCGGGCCTTGCCGGACCAAAATAGCCGATCTTCTCAACCTGACTCGGGCATACTACATATTATATATATATATATATATACATATATATATATATACTATACAGCCGGCTACTGCTGCCTTTATGCAGAACCTGGAGGCAAACACGACTGCAACAGTGGGAAAAAAGGGTTCCAGGCCCTGGATCGTAGCATACTACGCATATTAGAGGTACATTCGAGTATACCAGCATATTCAACCCTAAACCCCGACACCCTAAACCCCTATTAATGGTACATTATGATGGACATTTAGGGTTTAGGGTTTAGGGTTTGGGATGCACAGCAGGACTGCCTGTTACTGCGCCGTTCGGCCCTCTGAGACCGGGACTGCCTCGAACCATTCTTCCTGCAAAACCCGGGCAAGTGAACACGAGTTTAGAGTGCCTTTAAAGGGATCCTTTAAGGGGTTCCTTAAAGGGATCTATATATAGGGGTTCTATAAAGGGTTTAGGGAGTTTCTGAAAAACTAGGGGTACCTATTTTGGGGTCCTTACAATAAGGATCCAGAAGCATCCCACTATTTAGGGGACTAGATTAGGGTTCCCTATTTTCGGACACTCCCACATGCATGGAAACCCCATGGGCCGCATCAGATCATCCAGGAACACCAGTGCAACTTAAGATGCCAGTGGATCCTGGCTCTCACGGAAAATTTTGCAAGGATGAGCGGGAACCAGTGCTCTGCTGCTACGTAAAGAACTGTGTTGCACTTACATCCGACACCACACTTAAAGGATCATGGGACTTAGTAACTAAGGTTATAATTAGGGTAACTATACTTATAACCCCAATTAGGGTACTTATAACCTTACTTACTAAGTCCCATGATCCTCCAAGTAATCAGCAGAAGCTCAGCCAACAGGCCGCTTGGCGGCCAAAAGCCCCAAAGCCCGAGCTTTAACCGAACCCGGAAGCCGTAAAGCCAGGAGCCTAAACCCTTGAGCTTCCGTAAACCCTAGACTAGGCCTCAACTCGGGTCGAAGGGTATATTATAGTATAGTAAGATCAAGGCTAAAAGGGAAACGCATTACTAATTATTCCGACCCATATAATGCTAAGCACTAAACCCGTCTGCCTTAACCCTAAAACCTGCGTGCCTCTGAGAGCTCGCCGCTCTGATCGTCATCCAAGGCCTGAGCGCAGGCTTTCGGGCGCTTCGACAAAACTCCCACCTCTGCTGAGGTTCTTACCTTTGGTTAGTAGGGAATGGAGGAATGGGGTACAAGTATAACTACTATTACTACCATTCTTCCATTCCCTACTGTACTAACCACAGGTCAGGGTTTACGGCTCTTGTGGTTTGCCTCTTGGGGTTGAGGTTTCGGCGCTCACACTGGGGCGGGGTTGAGGTTTACGCTCTCGCAACTCGGACAAGCCAGACGAGGTTCTTGGTGCTAAGTCGGCGAAAGGAAAGACTAAGAGGCTCACCCGATAGCCGAAAGAACAACAGCTCAACAGAAGGTAAGGCCACGTAGGACCGGCTCTCGGGCGGGCTGAGAGAAGACTCCCCATACTAGAGGAGGGAGGTACTCGAGGCATCCCCGAAGTAGAAGACAGTCAAAACCAAGGTAGTGCCACAGAGGACGGAATGCCTGGGAACCTCCAAACTAGAGTACAGCAAAGGTTGATTTTGCAAGGACAGTATAGTATACAGATGAAACCTATACAATTGGAGCGTGAAACCAGCTAGAATGCAAAAAGTAGGCGATTTCCGGAATGACATGTGTGTCTGGACAGGCATGCAAAAAGAACTATACACGACGCTACCCACGGAACTCACTGCAGCGCTCACTTGAGGACGAACGTGTGCCAGTCGGGTCTGCCCAGTTCTGTCGGGCTGGTGCGAGCCAGGAACTGACTCCACTCACGACTTCCCACATCTGGCAGCGTTCACGTTAGAAGTGTGTACATTCTCGAGCCAGACGACCCTCTCCGACATAGGCATGGGAAGTAGCATATGGGAAGTAGCATACTGCGCTGTAGCAGGAAGAGAGTTCGGTTCAGCGAGGTCCAGTACCAAACAGTACCAAACACGAGGGAAGCAGGAAGGCCCCGTCCCCCGGCACGTGTCGAGAGCTCGACCCCGGCGTAAGAAAGCTTCCTTGAAAGTCCCATCCACCATGTGGTTGCGGACCATGCACCAGACAGCTTGCTTTGAGCTAACCCAGAGAGAACATCATAGCCCATGCAGGAAAGGCGGATCCGGTAGAGGATCACTTCCATGAAGTATTCGTGGAGTCCGGCATCTACAGAAAATGACACTTCTGCCGTATCTGTCGAGTCTCAGAGTGCGCATTGACGGGATGCAGTTTCCAGGGGCAGCCGAGTCAGACGCCGAGCCAGAGACCGCGTTGACGCAGAGAGCATCTGCAAGCCGCGTGACAGTCACACCAGGACGAGATCCATGGCGGACCGCAGAGGCGCGGGTTCATGGTTTGCCATAAGGGGCCTAACGTAAAGGGAAGTACGGGAGTAGGGTTGAGGGTGTCGGTTGTGAGAGGTGTATAGTTAAAGGGAAATAGGGGTATAGGACCGACCGACGAACGTGACCACGGGCACAGACATCATCAGGGCATCATCACCAGGAGGCAAAAGGCAAGGACAGCAAGGGCATGCATCAGTGCGGGCAGCAAGGAAAAAACAGTCCGGCAGAAGCAAAAAGCAGTCCAGCACAGTGCTACAAAGGCACGAATTCGCAGTACCATGCAGCCAAGGCGCCAGAGACCTATGTGCGAAAAGCACGGCAGTCCCAAAACAAACCCAGGAAAGAGCAACCTTCCGAAAAAGCCAACTTGGAAAGAACCGTCCTCATCCGTACAGGCCTTCAATGGGGGCTGGGTTTAGAATAAGGCCCCAACAGGGGAGGTGTATACGCAGTTGATGCCAGACGATTGCTTCAGCTGTGCAGTCTAGACGACCCCAGGCGTCCATTACAGAGTCCTCAAGAAACCTAGCATCTTCTCGAGAACAGTAGGTTGTAAGGGGTAAGGGGTGAGCTGCTCGCGGGAAGTCTGAGACAACAGCATCCAGAGAGTCCAGATAAACCCAAAGATCAAAGACACGATTGTAATACCAATGCCAGGCTTTCTTATACTCTCGGATGATGTATCTCAGCTCTCCCGCAGTCCAGCATGCAAGGTGCGACGGCATCTGCTGCAGGGCCGAGGCTATCTCTTGGGCAGCTAGCGGGAGAAAGGGTTTGAGGTGCCCCGGTTGAACAATCTCCAGGTGATCATCCTCCATCTTGCACGGAGAACAGAAACTACTGGCTTGAACCTCGGGAAAACTCAAACAACCAATGTGGCATCTTCCTCAAGTGAGTCAACAACTTCGATGACCTCATGAGTATCCCGCTGCGCAACAGAAAGTTTCAGGGCATCCGGTAAGTTAAGCTGCCGCAGGCGTGGCTGGGAGCAATAGCTGCACCCGAAAAGGGAGCGTTTAATAGCCCCTTCAGAAGGTATAGGAAATCCTAGGTGTAGTAAGGAATGGCGCACTTCCTCCGATAAATTGCCACAGTGTATGGAGGCGAAGGTGATTAGTGTTACTCTTTGGGTAGGGTCTGTAGAGGGCAGAACATAACCAGCATGTAGTCTTTTTCTAGCATCAAAGATCTTCGGCTGTTGAAGGTTAAAGATTGTCCCCCTAAGTTCACACCCCCGAAAAGGCAGAATCGTAGACCCGGCTGGATCTTGCAACCAAAGACCTTCACCTTCAGGACACGGGGTGAGGCAAAGTATACTACTAGGGGTAGGACCATTACGATAGTCACGATGAACCTGGGACATGGGGTTGAGGTTTAGGGTTTGAGGCAGTTGGGGTTTTCGGGTCTTCGAAGCCCTAAACCCTAATTGGTGCCAAGCCTGCTGCACTTCACATGCCGGCTTCAGGCACGCAAGTGACAACTCATCGCGAATTTGCATCGCAAAGCCCTAAACGTTAAGTCCTAAAGCCATAATTTTAATAAACCCTAAACCCCTTTTTGCCACTGGGCTTGGGGCTAGCCGGGCTAGCCAGGTCCTTGCATAGATCCTTCCGCTACACCTACACGCCTTTTTTTGCCACTGGTCTTGGGGCTAGCCAAATCCTAAACCCCTAAACCCTGAACTCCGAAACCCTGAACCCCTAAACCTTGAACTCCTGCCCTAAGCCTCTAAACCTCTAATCTGAACCCCTACTTTTATTAAAGGATCATGGGACCTAGTAACTAGGGTTATAATTAGGGTAACTATACTCATAAGCCCAATTAAGGTACTTATAACCTTACTTACTAAGTCCCATGATCCTCCACTATAGAACCCTTATAGATCCCTTTAAGGATCCCTTTAAGGATCCCTTTAAGGATCCTTTAAGTACACCCCCAAAGCGACCCCCGGCCTCCCAGGCATCTTGGAGGTCCTTGCAGGATCGAGGCCATGAGGCCTTCTTTTTACATAATATGGGGACCCCTACCCTATATAATGGGCTATATGATAGCTATGTTAAGGGTATAGAAACCCTAAACCCTATAATGGGCCATATAATGGATATATAAGAGCTATATTAAGGGTATAGGTGTGTAGATGGGTGGTTGTCAAAATTAGGGTCCCTTTTTGGGGTACCCTAAATATTAGGTGCCGTACTGTAATAGGGACACACCCCACCTCCCAAGCCTCATGCTGCACAGGCTTCTACGAAGATTTATGAAGGCTAGGGTTATGATGAAGACCATGATCAGGCTTCAGACTGTGATTATGATTCGGACTTTGGTTATGATTGTGAACATGATGCAGGTCATGATTGTGCCTATGACGTTGACTATGACTAAGTGTAGAGGTGGAGGCTGCAGGGTCGGGGACGGATGCGGTCCTCACCGAAAGCAATTTGCAGGAACTGGACGAACTCACGGATCGTGAGGTCCTCGGTTCTTCTGCAGGTGCCATGTCAAGTGAAGATCAGACCGTGGCATGGGTGATACACCCCCCCCCCCCCCCCCCCGCCTGTTCGCACAGACCATTACAGAACTTGCCTGAAGGTATATCTGTCGAAACCACTCCACAATTTCTAATCAAGCGTGTGTAAAGGTCACACAACCTTGCTGGCAGCCCTTTTGAAAGGAACCTCTGCTTTCATCACTGAGGCCCCGTCGAACTCATTCCAGAGCTGACCCAGAACACGCCATTCGTTTTGGGAGATGCTGCCCTCGCCTGTGCGAATCATCCGGCTTCTGCTTGAAGCGCGGGGCTGCGATACAGCAGGATGCGACATCCACAGACAATCGCACGCACGCGAAAGATAGCGAAAGTGACCAAGTGACGGAAGATGATAGAAAGCCAGGTTTATATGAGCTCAAAGCAATTTCAAGACCGAAGCTTCTCGAAAACACAACCCAAGGTAGCGCATGTCAGATCCCGAAAGGTAGAGCTACGAGGGCCTTTGCACCCTCGACCCTGCCTCCCGGATCAAGGTACCGAAAGATTGCTGCCAAGCGCTGGTTCTCGTCTGGACCTGCGCATTCCAGGACTCTGCAAGAAGGGCCTGATCCACCAACCCTGATCACGGGAGGGGGGGATTTCGGGCCGGAGGCTGCAAGATTGCCTCTTCGGTTGAAGAGAAGGAGCTTTTGAACCGACTTCTGGCATGCCCTCACCAGCACCCTCGATGCTCAAATCGACAGTGCGTCCTGCCTTTGAACTTACCGCAGTCCAAGGCCACAAGCGCAGCCTGGAAGACACCTGCCAAAACTGGGCTCCTGTTCAAGACTTTTATTTACCATGATGAGGAAACCACGCTATTTACAATAGATCCCGATTGTGGAACTTAAACTAAGTTGCTCCACAAGAACCCAGAAAGCCACCGCAGAAGTCTAGAGAGCTTTGACATCGAGTGTAACCTTGTAGGGCTAAGCAGTCGCTCCCGGATTCCCTGATTGCTTGATTTCGCACACGTTCTGGCTCCTGTCCATAAGCACATGAGCCATCATAAGCAGGAATTATCGAATGCTTCTTCCCACTGAGGCCGGGACGCAAAGTTATGAGCGGTGTCTTCGTGTCGCTCGTGTTTATGATCTTGCGGAAGGCCTCCGTTTAGTGCCAAGTAGGGCTGGCAGCAGCATCGCACTCTGCATGCAAGGCGACGGCGCCTCATCGACGTTGCTGAAACGACTGATCAAGAACTCCAACAGATCAAGAATGTCCTGAGGAAGCTGCACACACGAATCATTGGGTTCTGCTCGTGATAGTAGCATCGAGGAGAACCGACAGAAATTATGCTGCAGGAAGTTGTATGCACAAACACTTGATGAGCAACGGCAGTACGTACGGAAGGAAGCTGTTATCAACAGCAAGCACAGCATGGCGAAAAAACACATACAAGTGAACAAAACCCGCACGGATGATGGTGACAATGCTGCCAACGGCGGTTCTAAAGACATTGACGCTGGAACGGACAACAAGGACAATGCTGTGCGAGAAAACTCTTGGTGCTCAGCATGGAAAACTGGAGAAAAGCCCGTGCAACTACCACGCCAAACTCTGATCATGATCATCATCACCATCGTCATCGTACCATTTAGCCGAAGCAGCAGGAGTAGCAACTGAGAAGTACTCGTCGTCAGCGTGTGGCGATTGTGATACTAGTAGTAGTAGTAGTAGTAGTAGTAGTAGTAGTAGTAGTAGTAGTAGTAGAAGTAGTAGTAGAAGTAGTAGTAGTAGTAGTAGTAGTAGAAGTAGTAGTAGTAGTAGTAGTAGTAGTAGTAGTAGTAGTAGTAGTAGTAGTGGTAGTAGTAGTAGTAGCAGCAGCAGTGCAGCGCGTAGTAGTAGTAGTGTAGTGGTAGTAGTAGTGGTAGTGGTAGTGGTAGTGGTAGTGGGTAGTGGTAGTGGTAGTGGTAGTGGTAGTGGTAGTGTAGTGGTAGCAGTAGCAGTAGTAGTAGTAGTAGTAGTAGTAGTAGTAGTTGTTGTTGTTGTAGTAGTAGTAGTAGTAGCCGCCACGGCTCAGACGTTTTGGAAGTTTCGCGCTGGCTTTCGAACAGGCTCTGGATTCCAACCTTGCGTTGCTAGAGGTCTCAAACAGGCCTCTCTCCGAACGACTAAGGGTTGGTTCCTCACGCTGAGCCATGTGCCATGTGCCAACAGTTTGCGTCTGAGCCGCCAGGTCCCAATTCCTGGACCCAGTACCCTGTCTCAACACGGGCCCACTGGGCAGGCGGTAGGGTTTCCACTAGCCGCGTGGTGGAGGGAGTCACTCGGCTTGCCTTGTGACGAAATAGCGGATGGCGCTGCTCCCAGTGCACTCACAAAATTATTCTCAGATCAGGAAGAATTCTTTCAAGCATGTTTGCCGACAGGTGGCTGCAAGCCAGCAGCCTGTTTCTTACCGAGGTCAGGTTCTGACCCCAGCTCTTCTCAGGCGCATGGGCAACTGCCCACCGCAGCCGGGCTCCAAGCAGTCTTTTGCACCACGATCTCGGGCAGGACAGGCCACCAGGCCTCTCCGAGTACTGTCCTGGAATGCAGGCCATCTTGGCCAGCAACAATGGTCGGAAGTCAAATCATGGCTCTCCACTGAGGCACACCACACCTGTGATGTGTTCGTCCTGCAGGAGACCCACTGGCAGGCTACGGCCGAATTTAGTGTTGCAGGCTGGTACTGCATCTCGTCTGCTTCTGCTGCAGATCCGAAGGCCTCTAGACGAAAGCAACGCGGGGGCAAGGCCCATAAACAGTCACCTGCAGAGGCAATGCCTAATGACGATAAGATGACCCCACCCCGCAAGGAGCCCTCAACAACTCGCGCGGACGGGGTTATGGTTTTCCTGTCCCCACACATACTGCCCAAAAGTGTGCGCTGGCAGGAACATGTCATAGGCAGAGCCCTGGAGGTCAGGTTTGACTGGCACGGGGCCCGCATCAACCTGGTTGCTGTGTATCAACACGTCTGGTCACCGGCCAAGCAGGTACAGACCAATCGTCAGGACAGAGCACATGTCCTGAAGGCTCTTAGCAGATGCGTGCAACGCGTGCCGCACAGGGACACGCTTATCCTGGCAGGAGATTTCAATAGTTCCTTGCAAAAGCAGCCTAGGCTGGTTGGTCCAGAGATCATTAGCCCACAGGAACCGAGATCTGATGAGCCAGAGCTTACCAACTTTCTGCTTAATCATCGCTTGGTTGCCCTCAACACGTGGAGGCCTCAGCCGCCACATACGTTTCAGCAAGGGGATACGCGCACTCAAATTGACTTTGTGCTTACGAGGGAGGTCTCTGCTGGAGGAGCTGCCAAAAACTCTACGCCGCTGGTAGCTTTCCCGCTTGGAAGCTGGAAGAAAGGCGGGCACTTACCCATCAGTGCAGCTGTCAAACCAGTTCGGCACTGGAACCTGCCAGCCCCTCAGATACAGCAGCATCATTATGACACCGCTGCTCTGCAAGCGGCTGTCAGGGACAACACGCTGCCAGCTCAGCACATGCTCGAGTGGGTTACAGCACGACTCACTCCGGACATGCAGCCGGCGTCATGGGATCGCCTCCTTGGCGAAGCCGCATCCAGGTTTTTCCCTAAGACCCCAGTGGCAATGCCAGATAGTCCGGAGACGAGCCTTGCCAGACGCATGTGGCGCTCGGCACGTGGGAGCAATGCTCACCCCAGTGCGGAGCCATCGCCGGAGGATGAAGCCCGGCAGAGGCTGTGTGATCAGCATAAACAGGCGGTTAAGCAGGCTCGCAAGGACCAGACCAAACGGTTTCTTGCTGAGGTTGATCAGGCTCTGAGCCAGGGCGATCAGCACCTGGCATATCAGACTCTTAAGCACCTCCGGCCGTGGAAACCGGCTTTGAAAGCTCAGCTTAAGGACGCGCACGGCTTCCTGCTCAGTCCTGCAAACGAACTGGATGAACTGGGGAAGTATGCAACTAAGGTCTTTGCGGCGCACCCACAGCTCCCGTCTGATTCGGGACTCCTGCCCCTATTGCCACAGACCAAGTTAGCAAAACATATTGCCTCGATCAAGCCTAGCAAGGCAGTTCCGAAAGGAGCGGCACCGGCCGCAGCCTGGAAGCTCTGTGCTCAGCCGATCTCTGCGGCGCTTTCACAATACTGTTCAAGCCTGACGCAGGACCAGTCACTGGACGACGATCTGACTCGCGCAGATCTCTGCTTAATCCCCAAACCGGGCAAGCCGGCTGACAAGCCTTCACAACTCAGGCCGCTGGGCATTCTTCGCCCGGATGCTAAAGGACTGGCGGGCACGGCCAAGGAGCTCCTGGAGCCTTTCACGCTGCCATACATGAAGCCTCTACCCCAGTTTGCATACCTCCCTGGGAGAGGTCTTTCGGATGCACAGAGCAGAGTGGTTCAGCATTTAAGGGAAGCAAGGCAGCTCTGTCGCAATGCGAATCTCACCCGAGCGGATCAGCAGCGGGGACAATGTCCTGTAGGTCTCGTCGGCGGCATCACTTTCGCACTAGACCTGTCACAGGCATTCGACACTGTGTCCCGAAGTGAGATCTTGTCCCTGCTAGATGAGCTGGGCGCGGATCCCCCGCTTAAGAAACTCATACACGGCCTTCATCATCGATCTAAATACAGACTTCATTCTCAGGGGGCCTACAAGGACGTGGAAACTACCACTGGCATCAAACAAGGCTGCAAGTTGGCCCCCACGCTGTTTTCCGTGCTCACAGGCCGCCTCCTTCATAGACTGATAGACGCATTTGGCTGGGACAATGTCCGCAGATACTTTACAGGTTACGCGGACGACTTCACCATGCATCGCACCATCCGCAGCCAAGCAGACGTGGACGCTGCTCACAAGATGATCCTACAGCTTCTGTCGGAGGTGACGAAACTGGGATTACGCGTCAACCCGGCCAAATGTGCCATGCTAGTCAAGCTTAACGGCAGAGAGGCGGAAGCCGTGCTTCAGAAGCACACCTGCTGGCTGCCCGACTCGACGGGCACACTACAGCGGCATTGGCGACTGGGCAAGCACAGATCCTTCCCTGCATACAAACTTGAGGCGCAAATCAAGTACCTGGGCATCCAAATTTCCTATGGGAACTTTGAAATGCAGACGCTGCGATTCCGCATAGCGGAGGCTGCCAAAAAGCTCCAGCAGGTCAAGCGATTCGTCTACAATCGCCGCACCGCGGGGCCAATGGCCAGGCTAAAGGTCTGGTTCACCACCGTTTGGGCCACCTTGGTCACGGGACTCCCCGAAGTCGGCCTCACGGAGGAGACGGCCAGGCATCTTAGAGGCTGGTATGCACACAAGATACGCTCGGTCCTCAATCAGCCTGCACACGTCGGCCACACACCTACAGCTGACCTGTACCGACTATATTCAATCCAAGACCCGGTAGCCAAAATCCAAACAAGGATGGCTTCTAGACTCAAGCGGTTGTGCAAGAGAACAGCCCCCTCCGAAGCCACCACTACAGCCCTGCCTGCACACACTCCCAGTGAACCCTCAGCGACGCGGGGCCCATGGGCCAGGCTGAGTCCACCAGCGACGGGCCTAGCAACACACCAGCAGCCGTCTGAACCACATACATACGGTGACGTCACGCAACTGAGCCACGTCGTACAGGACCTACAGGACATGCTGAGAGAGGTGGAAAACCTCCCGGCGAGCACCGAGGCCTCACAGCAGCGGCTACACGCCTGCCCTCACTGCGAGTCGGGTTTTGTCTCTGCACATGGCTTACACATGCACGTCACGCGAATGCATCGCGAGCACGTGCAAAGGTACATTCCCCCCTCCTTTGATCGCAGTCGGCACTCCAAGGATGGTCTACCTGTATGTTCTGCATGCGACAAGGCTTTCCATCAATGGAAAGGCCTACGTGACCATCTCTTATCGGGGGCCTGCACGCAGCCGGAACGACTGCGTCAGATCTCTCTCACCACTGAGGAACAGATGCAGGGTCAGGCCCTCCAGGGCCTGGCGGCCTTTCGCGCCAAGGTGCAGAGTTCGCCCAGCAACAAACTCAGTGCCATTGCCACCCGGCCAGAGGCTCAGGAGCTTAAGCATCGGTGCATTTTGTGCGGTTTTTGGACCCCGGACCATACCAAGATGAAGAATCATCAACGACAGGCCCATGCACAAGCATGGCAGCGAGATGGTCCGGCAGCACTTCAGCTTTGCAAGGCCTATTCTGTGCAGATGATAAAGGGGCACCCCTGCCCCTTTTGCAGGCTGCCGGTCTATGACAAACGCAAACACCCTGAGCAATGCATTGTCCTGTTTCAGGTTCTGCTTGGGTGGCACAAGGTGCAAGGCACGGACAAGATGCGGGAACAATGTTCCAAGCCTCATCCCAAGACCGCGGTGACAATGTCACTTAGTGGCTTTTTTGGGGCTGCAGACAAGCCAGCTACCGCGGCTGCATCACCCACTGTTGCCATGGCAACGACGGGCGCCGTCGGCAGCACTCTCCCGCCAGGCCTGTATTCTCGTATGCGACACATGGTGAACTCGGGTAACACCTGCTATGTCAATGCGACCATTCAGGCCCTACTAGCCGCGCTAGACTCTGCGTCCAATGTAGCGGAACTGGGACCACTGGTCCAACACTGCATCAACCCGGAAGCGGATCCAATGGATACGAGGCACATAAACCCTCCAAGCCTATTCGCTCTCCGGTCCTTAGTGCCTAGATGGCGATTCGATGGCCGTCAACAAGACGCCTCCGAATTTGTCACATACATGCTAGAGCACAACACGGGGACTCTGCAACCCGCTCGCTGGGAAGGACGCACTAATGGAGTGCCGGAAAGTGAGGATGACGGCCTCACGCCGTTGCTGCTGCCCCTTTCCTCAGCCTGTCGTACACTGCAGCAGGCCTGCACGGCATGGTATGACCACACGTTCCAGCGCGCCCTGGCATGGGCCCCTGACATCCTGCCAGTCACAATCGCTCGATGGATGGACGGCACAAAACGACGCACCCCGCTGGACCTGCGCAGGCACCTCTCAATGCCGTCTTGGATTGAGGGTCAGGGCCGGCAATGGCATCAATATGCAGTCATTTCGGGAGTTTTTCACATAGGTGCTGACATACACTCCGGCCACTACCGGTCCTTCTGGATTCACCCAAATGGAGGCGCGCTGTATGTGGGGGATGATGCCACCCGCCCATACCCAGCCTCGGCCTCAGATCGCAAACATGTTATGGAAGACTGCTACCTCCTTTTCTTGAGAAGACAGGAGTGACTCTGACTCACCCTCAAGGGGTGAGTGCTGGCCCTCCAAACCTAGGAATGCGTGCACCAATAGGGTGCCTGTGCGTGGGAAGGCCGGACCCCACAATAGGTGGGCATGGCCCCCCCCACGTCAAGGCCAAGCATGCTTTAGGCATGCGCAGGCTTACCCGCAGCTTTTCAGGCTGACCCAGCATGGCTGACACGATCCACAGCCCGGACCACAAAAGTGGTCGAACCGCCTCTCCCCTGGCTCCAGATTCACTAATGGGAGAGCCATCTGAGCCGCTTGGGGTCGACACTCGACGCCAGACATCCGGAGGCGGCAAGCAGCGGCAAGGCAGCGCCCTGCATGCCCTCTCCAACGCTGCAACCAATGGTGCCACTGGCAGACTAAGCAGTAAGTCGCGGAGGCCATGCCTGTTCTCACTTGCGTCTCTTCCGAGACAGACTGATGGCCCTTCTGCCGGATGCCGCCGCTGTCAGTCGGAAATCATGCCCTAGCCTGCTGCCGGTCGCGCTACTGCTGCTCTGCTGACAGCATACACAACGCGAATTCCGTTTCAATGTTCAGGTACATACAACAATCTGGAGCTTGATACCCTGCAGCCTGCAAACTCGCTTTGGCTGATCACTGCCAGTTAGCTCAAAGCCTGTAGGCCGCAACCACTCAAAGGTCTTTTGACCTGGGCGGATCAGCTATAGGGTCTGAGTCAGTTTCACACCAAAGTGAGTGCACCGCGGCAATCGCCCGCTATGTGCAGAGCCCGCTCGCACAGCGTTCAATTGAAAAATTGTTGTTGTAGTTGTTGTTGTAGTAGTAGGAGTAGGAGCAGGAGCAGGAGTAGGAGGAGCAGCAGTAGCAGTAGCAGCAGCCGTAGCAGCAGCAGCAGCAGCTGCAGCAGTAGCAGTGGTAGGAGGGGCAGTAGTAGAAGTAGTGGAAGTAGTAGCAGTGGTAGTAGAAGAAGTAGTAGTAGAAGAAGTAGTAGCAGCAGCAGTAGTAGTTACTGTTGTAGTTGTAGTTATGGTAGCGGGCAGTAAGATCAGTAGTAGAAAAAAGCAGCAGTTCCAGCGTCAGTTGCGGCAACAAGCACGAAGCCGAGGCAGCGACAGATGGAGGCTCGGTAAGCCCAGTCCACCACATAACGTCCTTTCCGCTCAGGGTGAAAGCCACACTAATCCTTCTCTGATTTTTGACTGCGATCACTACTGTGGAAGCTGCTGTCCACCTTGGCGCAACGTAATTCTGGCAAGCTGAGCTCAGCTTCCCTTGGGCCCGGTACTTTGCGACATACTTGCAACTTGTGCTGCAAGTACTCGGATTGCTACAAACGTTCGAAGGTCTGCATTCATCTCCTCCTCCTTGATCTTCGACATGGTCTTTGCGTCGTAGTAGCCGTACCTTGCGCCATCTAGTGCCAACGCAACACAGCCTCGAGCGACGGGCATGCAGGAGCCACCTGCCCGAGGACCCCTGATGGCTGCCCAGCATGCTTTGAAGACGCTGTGAGCTCTCCCATGTGCAGACACAGCAGATCACAAAACCCTATATGGGAGTTTCAGAAAATTGGGGACCCTAATATCGGTAACTTAAAATAGGCTCCTTACTAGGTGGGGCTTTTAGAGCCTTTGAAAAATATTAGTAATGTGGGTGTCGGTAGCCCTAATTTTCGGAAACTCCCATATGGCAACAAGCCCCAAACCGCTGCCAGGGCACGTCTCTGCCAGCTTTCGGCGAAAGTCGAAGGCCCGATTCTCGGGCGCACAGCCTCGTGTCGTGGGGTTTCTTATTATACTTATAGCATAATGGTACTATGACTATATATGGTATTATAGTATAATGGCATTAAAGCAGCACCAAAACAAGCAGGAAGCAGACATCCTGTATTGCACTTCGTCTTGTTATTATCATCAAGGTAAGCATTAATAGTATTATGACTACTACTTTCTTATTTTTATACTTATTGCTATTATTGTTAACTAATATACATATTATTTTTTTCATTGCTAGTATTGTTAATCTTATTTAAATTGCTAGTGTGATTAAATATTAGCATCAGTGCTAATATTCGTATCAAATTATTTCTATTGTCAATATTGAGTCAATATTATTCGGCGCGGTTTCTTCTGGCCAACAACGATTAACTCTTGCACAATGATCGCTAGGCCGAGTCGCTGTAGTGTCCGGAGAAGACGCCCTCTGAAGGGCACTGCTTCCAACTGGGCACAGCGACAACAGAGTGCAACAGCATCCTGCAACATCCCAGCTCAATGGCACACCTGTCTGCAAAAGACCGAGCTTCTTTTTCCGTTTGAGCGCAGCAGCGCAAAAGACAGAGGCTTTGCCCTGCGCCGTTTACAATGTCACAGGGCCAGCTATTGGCCGGAGAGTTCGGTCCAGACCACGTCCCGAACCGAGGTATTAGCACAAGGACTGCACTACCGCAACAGTGCTATTTCATGTTGATAACGTCAACAATCGCGGCTGTTCCGACTGTTTCTGTCATCTGCGAGGAAGGCCACGGACGTCCATGATGCTTCTTCACTCGTTACATACGTGACAGAGGCCGTGGACCGCGAAACTGGCCGAAGTTACCGGCCGAAGGTTCTGCGGATCCTGGAGGCCTCAAAAGGTACATCAACCGAAGGATCCCGTCATGGTGTTGAGCCTTTAGGTATTTCTGGCACATGGCTTGGTCGAAGCACGCATCACAGAGCCTTTCGGTTCAATGAAGCTCCGAGGTTCTTCCCTGGGCCTACGGCCTAGGTTTGGCGCTCAATCAAGATCCTTCTTTTGTGCACACCTCTGGGCCGCTTGATGCTGCAGTCCTGCCGTCAAACGATGGTTTGCGTTGAGATTGTCACAATACCCCCGTAAACGCGGATCTACGTTTGGCCGATCAGGTAGTCACATGATTCCGATCGTAAGCTAGGCATTCAAAGATATCAAAAGCTGATGTGACCTTATGTCAGCTAGAATTTAGACAGAGGCTTCGGCCTGGTATGCCTACGACAAGACATCTCTACCACCGTCCACGCCAGGTGGACCAGCTTCCTGAAGACCTGCTTTTGCAGGTTCCAGTTCGCCGAACCAAAGTCTCTCGTTGCAGAGTTACCGACATCTTGTCAGACACGAGAAGCCTCGGAGCTCTGGCCCAAACTCTCTTGGTCAGGCCCAAACTGTGGATGTGGAAATCACAGGTTAAGGTCTGAGTGTTAGAGCTTGAGGTCGTAGTCTTAGTGTTCTTGCGACTTCTAGTTTCTACGTAGCAAGATAAGGCTAAAGGAGCAGTACTACTTCTATGGCAGACACGGAGTTCTCGAGCCTGTTCTCAAGTATATCAGGCAGTGATCGAGATAGTCCAGAGGGTGTCGCTTGATGCCTATCTGCGCACAGCGATCGCGCTCGCTGCTCGCGATGCCTTGACATGCTGTAGCTCCCAAGCAGTTTATGGTACAGCGGCAGCGTGCTCAAATGCGGCTCAAGCTTGCCAGGTAAGGCTGGATTCTCGGACCTATCAAACAAGTGGTCTGGTGGCTACAAAGGAATATGTTCGACACCCGGCCAGTCTCATGCCTATGCTACCGTCAAAGCCTTCACATCTCGCCGGAGAAAATCGGTCGATACTGCAGGAAAGACAACCCAGCTCAAACCACACCAACCACATCGAGCAACAAGCGCAACAAGGAGAACACCACCGACAACAACACCGACACGACACCAACACCAACACCACCACCAGCGCCACCAGCACCAGTACCTGCACCAGCACCACCCAACCACAACAACAACCACCCCAACCACGACCGCCACGACCAAAACCACAACCACAAATAACAACCACGGCAACATAACAGCAAGAACAACAGCAACTGCTACTGGTACTGCTACTCGTACTCCTAGTGCTACCCCTACTCCTGCTGCTACTGCTGCTGCTACTACTTCTACTGCTGCTACTGCTTCTACTACTGCTGCTACTACTACTGCTGCTACTACTGCCACTACTACTGCGGTGCTGCTGAAAACGCTACCACTACCACTACCACCAGCTCTAGCAATAGCAACAGCACTACCACAACCACTGCTGCTACTACTGCTACTACTTTACTGGTACTAGTACTACTACTGCTTCTGCTACTGCTACTGCCACGACAACACTGCTGCTGCTACTGCTACGGCTGCAGCTACTGCTACTACTGCTACTGCCACTGCTACTAGTTGCTGCTACTACTACTACTACTACTGCTACTACTACTACTACTACTTTTGACGGTGCTGCCTCGCCACACATGCTGTGAGCACGAAACTGCATCCTAAAATCGGGCGCCTCAGATTGCTTGTATCACGGAGCTCTCCATCTCCAACGTATACCGGTAAATTTTGAAGCTGACCTCACGACTCACCATCTGTTTGGCCATTCGTGCCACGTTGTCACTCTCCTCATTCACCTGGACTATCCTGCGCGGGCAGTCTCAGCTGGCAGCTGCACATCTACGAGAAAAACTTGAACCCTGCCGCGGCTAAAGCCCTTCAAACCAGCCTGTCATGTGGCTTCATGTGCGGAGCGTTGTCCTCCGAACATCTCCTTAGCTGCGGTCACCCATGCACCGGCAGGCCTATTCACCGTGTAGCAGCAGGACGCCAGCAGAACGAGCAGAGGGTGAGCGACAAGAACGAGGAGAGTCTAGAGGTAATGATGGAACAATTCTCATCAACTGCAGTACAAGAGTAAAGAGTTCATGTCCCAATCCGTCAAGCTTCAGATGCACCGCACCTGCGGGGTCCAACTTCCTGACTCGCAAACCTCAGTGTCCCAAGGTGAAAATGGCAGGGCTTTTTCCTACTTCCAATGATCGGCTGGTACTGGTAAGTTACACTGCCGAATATCAGACCTCCTCCCCATCTCCTCCTCTTGCGCGCTGTGAAAGAAGAAGCCAGAGTCCCCAGAGCGAAAGAAGCAAGTGCACACGAGTAGTATCAGCCCCCCTGGTCTTCTGGTGTTTCGGCATCCTACCAGCAAGTATGAATCGCATGGAACCTGGGATTATCGCGGTTTGCCGCTTTATTTGCAACATTTCATGGTTCGACCGTTTGCCGGAGGCTGTCAAGCTACTGCAGCAAACTAGTACAACTACAGTTCACGCCGCTCAACGAAGCGATGTGGGAGTTTGCTTCCGCCTCTGCGTGCAAGCCGGACTCCGGCAGTGCTTGGCTTTCGGCCTCCCTCCCTCTCTTTTTAGCGTTGGCAAACTCTGCCTGTATCTTGCTATGGACCAGACCTGACAAGATATTTCACACATGTGGTGTGCAAGTTGTGATGCTAGATGTCAGGCTCCGTGCCAAGGCAACCCTTGGAGCAAAAACCCTGGCCCTGACGACGACGAAAGGAGCAAGCCGGAAGCCAGGGAGCTAGGTGTCATCTTGCTCATCTCAAGCCCCAGGCCCAGCTTGCGGCCATCTGGGGTGATGCTGAATTCTCTGACCTTGGTAGACGGGTTTGACCACTATGCAATAAGCGCTTGCATGATCAGTATTCTAAGAACCAACACCACTTGAAGCAATGAAGTCCTGACACATCAGCTGCGAAACTATGTGCCATGTGCAAGCGTAATCTTTCGGCAATACTCGGGTATAGTGATAGGAGGTGTGTGTGTGTGTGGGTACAAACAACTTGGAACCGGGATCGATAATTCTCTTGATGGCTTGCCGATCAGTATAGCGCAGGACAGTCTTACCGAGCTAGCACATCAAGGAGTAGAAGAGCCACATCTGGATGCTCAAATCGCAGCTGGATGTTAGCATCGCAGTCCTGAACAGCGCCAGGGTGATGTGCAACATTTCCAGGGTTGCTGGATGGAGGTCGAAACTTCCGTATATATAGGGGACTTGAATAATCAGCTATACTATTTTGATGCTTTCTTATAATAATTGTAATATAATGGGCACCAAAACCTTTTTATTTTGATCATAGTACAACACATCCCAGAATCCTATTCAAGCGGAAATCCCAAAAAACAAGTGTTGCCTGCAAGACGTCCACAAGCTCCGCCGATGGAAGGAGACCGCAGCCATTGACTTCCAGGAGACGATCAAACGGCCTGACTCCAATTACTTAAAGGATCATGCAGCAAAAAGGGATCTATGGGGGTTCTATTATAAGAACGGTTTTAGGGATTACTTAAAGGATCATGGGACTTAGTAACTAGGGTTATAATTCGGGTAGCTATACTTATGACCCCAATTAAGGTACTTATAACCTTACTTACTAAGTCCCATGATCCTCCAATTGGGGTTTTTGGGTACGCTTCTCGATTTGTGCATTTCTTCCCTCCTACTTAAGGACGAAGCCCGCATTGCAGGGTACAATGGTTGAACGGCTGAAAGCGGCATGGCATTACGATGCCAATTACAATCTCCAAAACCCGAGTAACTTGATTACTCAGGAACACTTGCGAAAGAAAGCCACCAAGACCCAGAGATCCCAGCAAGGGACAACCACAAGCAGAATAAGGACTAGGGTGTTGGGGTATACTGTGCACTAACTGTTCCGGCCCTTCAGTAGCTGCATGCCAAAACACCGAATCTGCGACTCCTCTGCAGCTGTAGCATTCCAGCGGGTGGCGAGGCCACTTCTACGTACTTGGCCTTGGGCCAAAGCATGGAAGCAGGCAGAGACTTGGCTTTGCTGTATGAGTCGGTGTTGGCTCGGGGAATCGACCGGAATTCGTGAAGTTTCGGGGGTTTGAGCCCTTAGTAGTAGAATAGTATACCATGATCATACTGTCCATGAGGACCATTAGGATCATTAGGATCTGATAAGATTTCTCCCAAGTTGCTGACTAGCAAGACCTTCGCGTCCATGGTGTCGAAGTCTAAGCCGATGTCGTCACCATCAACCTTTTCAAGGTTCACGATGAAGGTTCCCTCCTTGCGCACATCTCCACGGGAATCTGTCTGGTTCTTTGTAGGGAACCATTCCCCCATTCCCTCAACTCAACAGCAGTTCGCGTAGGCGTGTCCGAGATCTTGGCTAGCGCTGCGCTGTAGCTTGTAGCTGGTGCCTCCCTAATTATAACACCTTAGCCCCAAGCGGACACGCAAGAGAGCTTCAAAAGCCGACTAGCTGACTAATTAGCATGTGGGGCCTTGCGTTTGCCCAACCTCATCAAAGCTTGTTGCGACATCTCGCAACCGAAGCTTAAGCCTGAATCCTCCCGAACCGCATTCAGTCTCCTGCGGCATCTCATGCCGCTCCGTCGTATCAGCCCGCGACGCCGGGCTGAAGTTCGCTGGCAACTCTGGCTCGGCCTTGGTCTGCAGAACTCATTTGCCCAGGATATACGACGCTGTTTCTAGTCAATACAAGTTGACCCGGGTTCTATGAAACGGCATGCTTGAAAGTCAAGCATCTTCTTTCGGACTGTCATGGTATGACCACGCAGCAACAGGGGTTTCAGGCCGCGAAGGCACCGGAGGTTGAAGCGCTGCCTCTGCCTCCTCCTCAAAGACAGGCAGAGGCGGGCCTCGCTGCTTCGTCGAGGGCTCGCTTCTTGCCTCTATCCGATGTAAAGGTGCCACCGGCGCTGTCGATTCGGATGGGGCAGTCCGTGGGACAGCGGAGTTTTCGTCCAGATTGCTGCCGAGAACGGCACCGAAGAGCGGTGTGTAGGAGCTCTTGTCGGTCCCTCGGAAGAACTTTGGGTTCTCGCTCCAGACGACCTCTACCACTTCGTTGCCCTCAGCCTTGCAGCAGCAATCCGTGTTGAACATGGCCGGACGTAAAGCCTTGGCTCAAGCAGGAGTGCCCTAACATCAGCGAGTTGTTCAGCTCGTGAGCTTCGCATAGGAAGGGCTAGTTTGCATGTGGAGGTCTCACGGAGGGGCAGGAGTAGGATGCCGAGCGAATCCTTTGGCTCTTGCTTTGGAACTGAAGCTGTAGTTGGGACATCAGAGTTCCTGCAGTTGCCAGGACGAACCGTGCTTCTCACTCTTCGACACGTACTTTGGAGCATGGCCTTGCTTTGGTCCAGTAGCACAGAAACACCACGTCAAGTCACGCATGAACATCTTCCTATTTGGAGCCACAAACTCAACGAGGGGTTCGCCTTAAGCATTACATGTGCTGTTGCCGTCAACCTCGCTCGCAAGATTGCCCATCCATCGAGAGGTGTGGCAGGAAGGGGCGCAGAGGGGCACTCACATGCACAAACGACAGCAAGCCTACTGGGGCTGCTTGAGTTGTTTGTCAAGCGCATGACAATATGTAGCACACGCTACCCGTCGCTAACTGTCATCCAGCAAAACAGCAACACACTTATCCACCATGGCTGTGCCATGCTGTGCCACTTCGACTTAACCCATCGTCTCTAACTATGGTCAGGGTCTACGCGGGGCGCAGAGGGCGCTCACACTTGAGCGCAAAGTGGTGTGGACACGCAGAAGCCGCTAGCTAGTTGAACCGGCTGCTGGCCCACCTCCCTGTAGAATGTTCTCCAATGCTCCATAGGAAGCCAAGTGGCCCCACCGGCCAGCCGCACTTGCCCAAGGTCGGATTCATCTGTTCGAGCCCAACGCGGCGAGATTCAGTCAAAGTCAAACCAAAGAAATCAAATCCTGCGGATGATCCCGTTTCGCCAAGCCTGTGCGCCCAGGGAAACAAATCAAGAACAACTCCCTTGTATGGTCCTGTACGGTTACCTCTGGACGTCTTGCCAATGAGAGGCTTTCGGATGGGGAAGCATGGTCGGGGAGGAGAGTCACGAAGACCGCTTTTGTCCACCACACACCTTCTCAATCTGTACGTGTGGTGTCCGTCACACACACCATCTAGCGGCTAGCGGCATGTACAAGAGCATACAGCAGCTGAACAGTGTGTGGGGTGCGTGCATGCCACTCGATTTTTGCAGACTTAAGCTTCAAAACCAAGTCTGTGTCCGCACAAGCAGACTCGTCTCAACTCTCTAACCGCCAAGAAAGAAAGACCTTACACAGCCGCAGGCACAATCATAAGCCTTGAAAGCCCACGATCTCAAAAACATTACGCCGAAAGCACTGGTGCCAATGCCAACCCCTGGGGCGCCAGGCTCGGCCCAGGATCTGGGCACTCCCATCGTCATGGGGTCCAAGGTGCCTGCGGGAAAAAAAAGGACAAAGGATACCCTGAACTTGCACCATAAATAATGAATCAAAAGCAAGAGCAGTCGAAGAAATCACAGTCATCAAAAGTGAACCTGATAGGAGCCATGAGCCCGAATGCGCTCACCCTTAATTCGCATGCCACAATGCAGGCCCCGGCCACTACACACGCCTCTGCGGACTAATCACCATGGTAGAAACAGCAGCAGTCGCAGCAGGGGAAAAAGTGGGACAGCAGGAGGAGCAGCAGAAGTAGGGGCGACAGTACATGCATGTACGTGTCATCAGCGAATCAGGGGGAAACTACCTACGAAACTTGTATCGCCAAAGGTTGAAGGATCTGGGATGCAGGTTCGTGAATCAAGCTTAAATTTGAAAAGCCTGAGCTTCGAGAGTTAGTGGCTCAGGCATGTTTCCTAAACCCTCTGATGTCATGTGCAGAGTGCAAGCCCGAACTTTCCCACAGCCACGTCCGCGCCGTCCGGTTTCTCGTAGGTGGGATCCTTCCCAGGCACACATGCTTGCTTCGCCGCATAGCTTCACTGGTCACTGGGCTGACATTTGCTCTCTGGCACCAGCTGCCTAAGTTGAACGTACGTGTACGCACGACACCAAACGGGAACCCCCGTTTAGCCACGGCAGCGGTAGTATATGGTCGTCGTCGTCGTCGTCCACAGTAGCAGTAGCAGCAGCAGCAGTAGGATGGAGGAGCAGTAGCCAGTGGCAGTGGCAGCAGCGGAAGTGGTGCCTACTAGCAGCGGAGGAGCAGTAGTAGCAGCAGCACCCCCAGCAGTAACAGTTGCGGTAGCGGTAGCAGCCGTAGCAGCCGTAGCAGCGGCAGCAGAAGTAGCAGCACCAGTGGCAGTGGCAGTGGCAGTGGCAGTGGGAGTAGGAGTAGGAGTAGGAGTAAGAGTAACAGTAGGAGTAGTAGTAGTAGTAGTAGTAGTAGTAGTAGTAGTAGTAGTAGTAGTAGTAGTAGTAGTAGTAGTAGTAGTAGTAGTAGTAGTAGTAGTAGTAGTGTAGTAGTAGTTCAGTAGTAGTAGTTCAGTAGTAGTAGTTCAGTAGTAGTAGTAGTAGTCGTCGTCGTCGTCGTAGTAGTAGTAGTAGTAGTACACGAGGGGAGGAGGAGGCGCAGCAGCAGCATCAGCAATATCAACAGCAGCCGCAGCTCTGGCTTGCGCAGTCGCAGTGGTCGTCCATGTCGTTGCTGTCGTCTGCATCATGGAGTCACCATCCTAGTACCCTAGTACTAGGTGAACGATTGAAAACCACGGCTGTCCTTGATGTTCCCTGGCATCTCGCGAAGCATTAGCTGGACCTATTGCAGGAGGCGCTGTTTGCAAAAGTCAGACGCCTCCTGTGGAAATGCGATTCCCATATGCTTTGCAACGAAGCATGTTCGATTAGAGTGGCGCGAGTGGTCGCACTATGACTATGCGATGTCAAGGACTCAGTCAATGTGCCTTCTCATCGCACACTCTCATCTGGTCTCACATGAGATTGTTGCGCCTTGTGTGAGAAAACTAGCTGACTGCTGTCACAGGCACGAAGAGGCAAGCAGAAACGCGCTGCTCGTATACGGCCATGTTGAACCGGAATACGGCATTCCTGTGGCAGGAAGATTCTGGTCACGGCTGTTTTGGGAACGAATCGTCTTTCTTAGCTCTCTCTCTCTCTTTCTCTCTCTCTGTCTCTCTCTCTCTCTCTCTCTCTCTCTCTCTCTTGCTTGCATCCGGTCAAGGGCAGCGCACAGCACTACCCCGCTCTCTCTCTCTCTCTCTCTCTCTCTGCCTGCCGTGTCATCATCAAGAGTCTCGCAATGCAAGGGCACGAAATCGCAGGCTAGAATATCAGGAGGCATAGCGCGAACGCTGAACCTCCGTCATTCAGTAGCACTGAAAGCCAAAACAACTAAGATTCAATCCTGCATCCCTGCCCGGCGAGTGTACTGAAGCATCTGCATCCGATTCTCTTGACTCCGAGTGGCTCGGGCTGAAAGTACGGGAAGAAGGTGATGTAACCGAGGCGCTCCTGAAAACATGGAGCTTGTCACTGCAGCACAGGATGCCACAGGAAGGAACGGCTGCACAATGCCGTGAACTTTGCGATTCCGGTGTCCTGCAGTCGCACTACATCTTCCTTCTTTTCAAACCTCACTCTGAAGACTTTCGCGTTGTACTTGTCGATGACCCTGCCAAAACCCGCTTGGATGCTTGCGATCTTCGACAGATTTCTGGCGGCTTTGAAAGTCTGGGCGAACTCCGAGCTGCATCTTCCACCTATAAAGCCTCGTGATGGCCACTCATGATTGAAGGACGCCTTCCGACTCCTTTGATAAAGGGTCATACAAACAGCCTCCAGCGAACCTCCAAACTTTGAGGAAACCCGGGTTTGATGGCCGCCCCTCCGGCCCAAGCTTGTGAAAAGTTTATGGCTTCTTCGGGACTCCATGACCCAACAGAAACCCAAAACTACAATGCAATGTCAGATCAATGCAACCATCCAGGGAATATGGGAGCTTCCGAAAATAGGGGACCCTAAATCGTAGGATCCTTATTATCCTTATTATAAGGACCCCAAAATAAGGTACCCCCTATTTTCGGAAACTCCAAAATATCAGGCTCCAGCCCAAGCGCACATTTGGGCATCTGCCAGCTCCAGCTCGGGACCCCAACTTCCCGGGAAGGTGGGAGTCTACAAATGATCCCAGGGTGAGTTCTCGCCTTCAAGCACCTACGTATAGTCAAAACGAAACAAAAAAACTTCGGTCGCAACATCGGTGCGTCCTCTACTAGACTCGCTTGCGGCGGTCGGGAGGTCGGGGGAAGTAATGAGGGAAAGTCAGGTTGCAGCTTTGGGGTGGGCCAACTCCCTTGGTAAACCCTAAACCCTAATCTCCCATGATGGTCCCTAAACCCTAATCTCCCATGAAACCCTAATCTCCCATGAAACCCTAATCTCCCATGAAACCCTAATCTCCCATGATGGTATCTGCAAGACTTACATGCCTTAAACGCCTTGGCATTTTCGAGCTTTCCCGCTCCCACCAGGGCCTCGGCCAGAACATCACCAGGGCCTCCTCACGATCCTCGTCCTTGCGGAAGAAGCCGACCATCTGCCGAATGTGCAGAGAGCCTTGGGTTCCGGGAGTTCAGGGCCGAAAGAGGGGGCGAGGTACAACAAGTAGCCGCTTGAAACGTTGAAAAAAAAGCGGACTGCCATCGAGCCCGTCATCCACCGCGATAAACGGTCAGCCGTAGAAAGCGGACTCGGGGACCTCTGCTGCCCTTCGCCTCACCGCATCCAAGGAGCTTAAGAAAATCTGATGCGAGATGATCTTCAACACCTTCAGCTGGTCTTCCGGGCGGCAGGGCGAGTCATAGATGGCCATCATGACCGACTGCGCAGGGCTTGTGGTGCCGGTAGTTGGAGGTTAGATGGCTAGCTATAAGTGGAGTTAGACGCAGGGTGGCCACCCGTACTCAGGGACTTCTAATATAGCCCCACTTACAACTATATAGGGTTTAGGGTTTAGGGCTTATACCCTGAGACCTATAAACTGTACAGAAGCCTCGGGGCATCCCGAATTTCCCCAAGCCCTATAGAGCCTCAAAGGAACACCTTTTTTAAGCACGGACTTGCACTGTATGTCGGCAGCGAAGCTCTATGGCAGAGCCATTAAAGGAACACTAAACCGATTCTATTCTAGTCCTGAGGATTGCGGGCGAAACAAAATTCTATTAGGAACATCAGATTACATTACCTGAAACCCTCTTCTCATTAATGATTGCTGCTCCTCTATCTATTCGGAAAATGAGAATACATTACCTGAAACCCTCCTCCAACTATTGTGGCAGCTATATCCCTCGCCTCCCAGAGAGTGTCGCTCAGCGGCTTCGAACCTTGCTTCGGATGATAGCCTGGGTCCAGCGCGGGGCTTCGGAAGAAGATGACAGCTTCATGATTCTAGTATACTTACAGGATCATGGGACTAGGGTTATGACTAGCATAACTACCCGTATGATTTCCGTATAACCCCAATCAAGGTAATTATAACCTTACTAACTAAGTCCCATGATCCTCCAAGTAGTGGTATGTTATATCATAGTCTCTTGTTTAGGGTTTCCGGAGAAGCAAAGCAGATCAGATCATGTGCCTGTAACAGAAAGGACCTGCTAACTTCATCGCTGGTGTCACAAGAGACAGTGTGAGCATGTTGAGATCTACGAAACAAACTTGGGACGCAAATTGTCCTTCATCCCTGTGTCTGCACAAAGAGGTCATGACGGAACCTGGAGGCCAAAGTGACTCAATGGATAATAGCTATTTGGTTGAGTGGCTGGTGGCGTAGTCACACTCGAACTCGCCAAACTCCGGCATGGCCCACTCCGTCAAGAGCTTCACCTGCGCTTGCGTAGACTCGTACCTACCAAAACTGAAACAACAGCCCCCGAGAGCCCAATACCCCTTAATTAAGGAATATAGCTTGAATCATAATATGAAGCCCCTTATAATGCAAGGTAAAGAGCTAAATTAAGGGGTTCTGGGCTCTCTGGGAGGCACCGGTGCTAGGTCCAAGTCACGGAAAGGTGAAGAGCTCGGCCCTGGTAGAGCTCCTTGTATCAACTTCCGAGCCGGCACTATGTGAGGGTTTCCGCAAATAGAGGACCCTCATACAGTATCCTAAATAGTAGGATCCTTATTATGAGGACCCCAATCTTCGGAAACTCCATGTAGTGTAGTGTGTAGTACATGATTGTTCGTGCGTAGTATACGGTATTCCATATATGGTATATACTACATAGTATACAAAATATAGCATATCACAGTATATATAGTGCATGAAATCAATATAGGTATATACAGGTGTATCTATATAATATTTATATACATATGTACCGATATACATATGGAGAGAGAGAGAGAGAGAGCGAGAGAGAGAGAGAGAGAGAGAGACCCGCATCTGGGACTGCGAAGCCTCTCAAGCTCTATCAGGCTTTGGCCAAACCAAGCATCGTTTCGGAGCTGAGACCGGTTTCCACGCTGTGAGACATCCCCACGGTTGTGCCGTCGGTTTACCACCTTGGAAGACTGGCTACACGGGGCGCCATTCGTGCATGCACACCCTTCTCAGGTGCATCCGCAAGAAGAACTTTCGACACATTTCGGATATGCAGAGAAAAGTCCTGTCGCCTGTGCGAAATGACTAGTGACTAGTTGCTGGCTACTACAAAGAGCGCAAGTAAGTCAGGCAAAGTGAGGACCAATGCAGCTCAGCTATGCTACCGTCAGAAGTAGCGGTGCTGTGCGTGAATTCTGGGAGTCCTGCAGCCATTAATGCAGTCCAGCAATTGCACCACTATCCACGCATGGCACGATCGGTGTTGAAAATAGACATGCATCAGCTGAAGCCGTTCAGCTGGGCAGCAAGTAGACGGTCCAGGGCCCCAAACCCTAAAACGGCCCAGAACTTTGGGGAGCGGCCTGCCAGAGAACCAAGCAAGGTGAGAAACTGTGTAAGTGTGGCCCCGGAAAAACCCGGGGCCCATGACAGTCCCTTCTGAAACCTCAAACCCTCTGATCTGGGTTGGGGCCACAGAGTGGTCTGCGAATGCGGCCGAAGCGCCGACTCCCATCGATCCAGCAAGAGCAGCTGCTGAGCCACGGCGAAGTCAGTGCCTTGGTATGGTATATTGTGCTATCTTCTCATATGTTTGTATTCATTCTTATATCTTAATTTATCCAAGATTATGTTATAGCTATAGTGTTGTGCACTATCGTAAACAATAGTGTCTGATCAACAGCTAGACAGAGGGTACTTGTAACTGTGCAAAGCAGCCCTCAGCTCTTTGTGCAGCACAGGTGCTGTTTTCCAGCTTGAGCTTGTATCGACCTGGGTGGCTGTCAAAATGATGGTCCCTTTTGGGTATCCTAAATTTTAGGTGCTGTACTATAATAGGGTCCCAAAAAGGGACCATAATTTTGACAACCACCCACCTGTAGGATTCTGTGGGTTGAAGAGTAGGAAGCTCTCCATCCTCCACTGGGTCTCCAGTAGGTCTTCGACCCGCGGGAAGAGCGACATAGCCAGGAATGTGGAGCAACCGTCGCGCTTGAGGCTTGGGATCAGCCGGAAGAGTATTTCGTTGCTGGCCTCTGGACATGCCTGGACCAAGGGTATATATTATGCAATGTATAATATCCAATGTATATTATATAACGAGGATCAATCCGTTCTTTTGTGATGCATCTCTGGCTAATTGATACCTTAACCCTTTTTGAACCTGGACTTGATGAATACCTTAACCCTTTTTTGCAGCAGGCCTCGTTGTCCAGCAGCCCGTCTAAACCCGAAACCCTTAACCCTAGACTCCAAACTCAAACTCCTTTTTCCGGCCTGGACCATGTACTCCAAATACGGGACCTCCATGTTGAAATCGGATGCCAAAGCCGTCAAGAAGGTCTCTTGCTCCGCATGCATTCCAGAGATCGCCTTCCTGAAGACTGTATTATAGTCCATTATAGTATATTATAGCATAGTATGGTACAGACTAGTATATTGTAGCATAGCAAGTCGGAGTACAGTAAGTACCTTAAACTGAGTATATATTATAATAATGCATAGTAAAGTGTAGCGTCTTGTTCACTGTTGCATCGGGCATGAATAACTATGCATAACTATGCAGAGGCATTGGGGGTCGGAAGTCGTTTCCTCTGATTTTGAGTCGATCTTTCATACCCCGGCTTTTGTCCACATGTGCCGGTTACTTCTGCGGCAAATACGTCCCCGTGCTTGCTCACACGCTTCTGGTTTTGGGGTTCACCGAACTACGGCGGTTCGAATGTCAGACGTTTGGCAGAGAAGGTGTGACATTTCTCCGGCTTGTTCGGGGACTGAGACGAAGTTCTCTTCTTGCAAGATTCAGGTGGGCATCTACTCGTGTGCCTTACCGGGAAAGCTTCTCATTCCCTTTCCGTCTCTTGCATGGAGGGGACTAGTTCTATGACGTAATATCTATCCCTTGATTGACATCACTTTACTTCACTTCGGGCTCCAGGGAGCGTGTCAAGCTCCCCGCGCCGAGAGGCGCGCCCCTGTTTTTGGGCTCTGTGGAGGAGCGTGAAAGCGGCAGACCCAGAGTATCCACCTTTAACACTGTAAGATACCATCATGTACTGTACTATAACCTACTACTAATGTACAACACTATAATGTACCGTAAGCATGCCTCCGAGCATCCAGTTGGCAAGCAACGGTCGCAGCTTTCGCTTGTGCGGCTCGAAGCGCATCATGGCCAGGTGGCCTGGGGGCTCAGTCAATGCTTACCGCGCGATATGAATGTGAAGAGTCGAATGTTTTCTAGCATCTTCTAGCATGTTATAAAATACGGTAAGCTGGCCTGGTTTACTGTGGTACAGCATAGTAGAGTAGTCAAGTACAACATAGTTTTCAGCTGTAAGGCTTTCTGACTGCCTAGGCTCAGCCCTGTTACAGAGCTGTGCTTGCTGTTCGTTTTTCAACCGGGTCTCGCGCATGCTTGTCGTACCTTATAGTATTGTATGTTGGAGTGGAGTAGGTTATAGTATTGCATTGATGGCATATTATAGAATGTTGTGGCACATTACTTCGGACTTTGCTGATTTGTCAGAGAGCTGTCAGCAGCAGAAGCTGGATCACTAAAACCAGCACTGCCGAAACCGCCCTCTCGCACCTCCAGACTTGTTACCACCGCATTAACCAAGTACTGCCGCATCAAGCACCACATGTGAGTAGGTCTCCAAATATCTCCAAACCATGATCGCTTTCAGTGTCCTTTTGATAAGGGTGCCGTAGTATTTTGGGGGACCCATTGAAAAGGGACCCAATTTAGAGAACTACCCATGCACTGCACAAGTTCAAGCAAAGCCTTGAAGCTCCAAGGAACTGTTCAGAAAGCCGATGAAATCATCGTCCGCGACGTTCGACCAGGCCGCGGCAATAGCAGACTCCACGTTGAACGTGAAGGTGAGGATGCCTTCACGCCGCACCTGGACTGCGGATACTCGATGTACGAGACAGTGCACACGCTTCATGTCGACTTGGTTGCTTCTATGAAGCTCATGAAGCAGACTACCAGGCACGATGATATGCCGTAACATGCAAAAATGTACCATAATTGTTGCAAATTAAAGCACCACATAGCTGCACTGACACAGGAACCCTGGCAGGAGCTGGGCCACACCTTGTACTGCCCGATGCTGTCTCCTTAGTAGCTCGGTATTTGCAAGAGCTGCGGGAAGCATTTAGGACACAGCATAATCATCAGTTGCAGATTCGTAAGTCATAGGGGCAACGACAGGCAAAGAACAAAGTGGCGGCAAACGTCGCAAAGTGGCGGCAAACGTCGCAGGTGCTGGTCCCAAGCACAAAAGTCACTGCTGCATAAAGTCGAGATGCGGACAGGGTGGTGATAGGGTGGATGGGAGTGATTGATATTGACGAACGCCTTGTTGTGCTCCAAATTAAATCGCTCGGCAGTCTCGTAAAGCATCCTCGGTGCACCGCGAAACGGGGGGAGCGCACACCTCTCAAGTCAGCGAGGACCCCTTCTTAATATCTTAGTTCTCAAAAATCCAAGGGTTCCAGCCTGCACAAGCTCCGGTCGTAAGGAATTCCGAGGTCAAGGATGTACTTGCCCCCTGGGTTGGTGAAGGAGAAAACCTGCACTGGCAGACACAGAGATAAATGCCGATTCCTTCTCGGACAGCGGACTCAAAAACATGGATCATGTGGAGCTTGACATGTCTTCTGCAGTCTTTCGGCTAGCTGTGATGCCACATGCTGCGCACCCGAATCGGTGCCACAGCGCATGACGTAGAGAAAGTATGAAGAAGTGGGGGATTGGGACTCCCATGTCAGTCTCGCACCAGGCTGGCAAGGCTCAGGACAAGTCCGTCTCTGACCGAAACAGCTACACAACAACGGAGAATTACAACAATATTAGGGGTCGGGAGTTGGTTCGGAAATCTGCTTCTTCTGCGTCCCGGATGACTCAAGTCCCAACTTGCTGCCGCACTGCTTGGTGCATAGCAGGCGTAGCCCTAGCAGAGCATACACCCTGACGGGATTTTGTCTTAGTCGTCTTTGCTCTTGTTGCTTCCACGGCCCCTCTTTGCATCCCCAGGCCCGAGTTCTCAGACCTTGGGAGAATGTTACACCCGGGGTTCGCACTTCTCTCCTGTGGCTTCTCTGCCCCGGGGTTGTCATCATTCATGCCGTGGCACTTATTCCAAATCAGGGTATCTTGAAAGGCCTAGAAAAGCTTACCATTCAAAGGACACTGCGCCGGCTGACCCCTCTGACCTTCGTGTGCGTTTCCGTACTCTTGGTCTTCTCGTCCCCAGACTTGCATCCTGGAGAAGAGATTATGATTTTCACATTTCCACTATGCATGGTGCCGTGACAGCTGGCCAGGAAGATTGTGGAATCCCATCGTCAATGCAATTGCACCGTCCACTTGCTTCCACTGCCCAAGGGCAGCGTCTCTCCAAACTTAAACCCAAACCCTCAGGCCCAAGCCCCTGGTAGTTTCGAACCGCCGCACTCTATGACTCTATGCGTGCGTGTTGCATTCAAAACGTGGCCCGACTTTAAGTCCCGAAGTCTAAGTTCAAGCTCCTTCGATGTCAAGGCGGGACATGCTAGACTCTTTCCGGCAGAGCAGTCTGAGGATGCTTCGCCTGGGCTTCGCAGGTTGAGGATGGAGGATTAGCGGGAGCTTCCGAAAATGGGGGAACCCCCATGTTTTAACGGTACCCTAAATAGCAGGATCCTTCTTATAAGGACCCCAAAGTAAAGTACCCCTAAATCTCGGAAACTCCCAGTATAAAGTGATTCTCCGACTGCAAGGCTATACGGTTTACTCTGAGGAATAGGGATGTTAGAATGATTGGAAGGTCTACGATGAAGGCTGCTGAAAGGGTTACAAGAACGGTTACTATGCAGGGTCTTTCAGTTAGAGCATACCTTGCCTAGCTAGGCTATTGGCACCGCACATAGACAACCCATCGAACCAGTCGGTGTGCATGCAATGCATTGTGGGGGGGGGGGGGAGTGGGAAACTTCAAGCCATGCAAGCAATTGAACCGGCGACCATGCAACTCGTGATCCATGAAACCTATCGAGCTAATCCTGTGACCAAAGGGCCCTACGAAAGGAGCAGCATGGGCATAAGCACCAGCGTCACCATCAACAACATCATCACCACCTGTACCACCCTCATGGCCACCCCGCTCTCCATCATCATCGTCCTCATGGACTTCAGCAACAGGAACATTCTGACGCGACATCATACCTCATCGGCTGAACCAGTCCATCTCTCGGAACTTTTTGCGATAGCAACAGATTACACCCAAGCTCTGAGCCAGTCCAAGAGCAAGACTACATAGTCCAAAAGCGTTGTAAACACGACCTCTCGAACCCGACATGCTCGGGCAGGTCCGGAATGAAACCTTTCGAGCGTCAGCCCGTGGATGCCCAGTGGATTGTTTCGCAGATACAGCCGTGACAGCATCGGGTGGCCCTCCAGCGAGTCCTTTCCAGACCAAAGGAGGGCTTCAGGCGTATTATAGAAGGCAAGTAGCATCCTTGCAGCTAGGCACACTGGCATGAAGCCGGGAGGCTGCTAGTAGCGGCTTCAAACCACTTCAGTCTGCAGCCAGGTATATATGCTGGGAACGAGACATGTGGACATACAACAGCGGAAGAATATCGGCGGCTTTTCTGACATGTGTGCGCACATGTGAAATTGTGTGTCCACGCATGTGTCACGTTATGTTATATTTCACATTATACCAGATCACAGCTTAACGATTATAGCATGCGATAACATATTATACAATGTCATCGTATATTACAGTATTTTCTGTGCATTAGAGTATGTCATCGTATGAAGTCAATTGAAAAAGTAAAGGGCCCGAAGCACTAAGGCAATTCAGACGGTAGAACGGGCAAAGAAACCTCGTTAGCTTCATAATAACATAACATTGCAGGAAACTATACCATACGTTAACATACTGCGGTATGCCGCAATATGCTGTAATATACTACGACATCCTGCGATCAACAAAATACACTCTACTATGACATAGTAAGCTATCGTATGCTTGAAGACATAAGAAAGGCGGACTCTTTAATCTGCCACCTCGATGACCAGCGCGGCACGGGAGTCGATGCGATTTGTGCAGATGCTCAGGCTCCTGGAGGGGAACGGCTTTCAGGGTTTAGGGGGGGAACTACGATTGGGAGTGGTTCAGGATTCGGGTTTGGGGTCCTAAACCCTAAACCGTGAGTGGGTCCGAATTTTGTTGGGAGGACTTCCTGGGCACATGATGCGGACTGGGGTCGACTGGGTTGCTTTCGAGGGCTGCAAGCCCCAAAAGCTGCGTGAAAGCCAGGCCAAGCCTCAAAGCAGAGTTGAAGGCCAGCTTCTCGATCAGCTCTGAGATTGGTGTGTCTTCACCAACCTAGCTCGAAATCCCATGTTTCAAACGAGCCTTACGATCTGCTGCTCTTCGCGGAGTAAAACTGGGACCAGATCTGCTCAGTTCTGGACTATGTAGGCCGCAGTATTGTCCAAAAGCAGGTGCATCAGGCTGGTGTTCTCAGCAATGTAATCGCCGATGACTTGAAAGTCCTCCATGCTGGATGCATGGAATATGTGGCATCGGGTGCTCGAGGCAGCGATGAAACATGACGGGTCCTTCTTGCTGAAAACATTCCAGCTGAGGTCCAACTTTCTGTTACTTCTGCTGCCTGAGACTTCCAGGACATCACGCGATTCAATTGAGGAAAAGCGAGAACTTGGATGGCATGTTTTGTCGACCGCGACGCCGGCCTTGTTTCTTGACCTTGTCTGACTCTGGGTTTTTCGAAATGGCGAACAGGCGATAGAGAAGAAATGTCAGAAGCTGCCCTTTTGCAAACTCTCCGGCAGACGCTCGGGGAAGCTCCTTTACTGACTGGGGTGTCCTCGAAGACGGTTCTGTTCTTCATCTCCGACTGTCTGGTTGTTTGCAGAACGATTGAAGAGCTGGAACCTGTCTTACATCTCGGGGATGACCTTGCCATTCCTGGCAACAAGCGACTAGGTTTCCAAGTGGTGTGAGGCATGGCACATACACTGACAGGCACCGGCAGAGGATGTACTCAGGCCGCAGCTCAGAAGATGCCTTAGGCAGTCTTCTGTCAGGCAGGTGCCGCCCAGTCCAGTGCGAGATAAACCGATAAACCTCAGCCGTGCAGCGCTGAAGATGTTGAACTGAAGACACAAAGCACACTTTGCCTGACTTGCTCAGGCTTGCACCTGTGCTGTGCATAAGGGAATTTCCGAAAATAGGGGACCCTAAAATAGTACCCTAAATAGTAGCCCCCAAAATTTGGCACCCCTATTTTCGGAAGCTCCCATAAGAAAGTAGTCTGAACGAGCATTTATCTGAACCAAACGAGGGGCCGACGCTCTTGCGATCTGACTGGTTGTCAATATTAGGGTCCCTTTTTGGGTCCCTAGTATAATACGGCACGTAATATTTCAGATACCCAAAAAGGGACCCTAATTTTGACAACTACCCATCTCAGGATCCTGCTGCAAGTTGCGATGTACCCCGAGCGATTCGCAGAGCTTGAGTTGAAGATGCCTCAGCGAGTAAAACCACACCAAGCAAGAACATGTCCCGATGTGCAATTAGTGCTGCGCAGCGAAGTTTCGAAAAAAGTGGCGCAGGAACCATGGATGATGTTGCACAGCAGCTACGCAGCAGCAGGCAGAACTAAGTACCACAGTATAGGGCAGCACAGGCTACCCGATGCCCACACCTTGCTTTTGCGACTGAGGCAGCCACGTACCGACCTGTACGCCGCTGAGGTTCAGCTCCCTGACAAAGCATTCAGACGTATGATGAAGCTGATCAGCATGCATGCCCGGCGTATTTGTGCTTGCTGCAGAGACCGCCCTAAATGGTAGGATCCTTATTATAAGGGTCCCTAAAATAAGGTACCCCTGGTTTTCGGAAACTCGCACCGCGCCTCAGGTTGCGTGCGGCAAAGGTCAGCTGCCGAAGAACCTCCAAGCTCTGCCATCCGGCACCCTGGCACGGCAAACTGGGATCGTCAGCTCGTTCCCCTAAACCCTACTTGGAGGATCATGGGACTTAGTCAGTAAGGTTATAAGTACCTTAATTGGGGCTACTAAGTCCCATGATCCTTTAAGTATACTGTAAATTGCCACACTCTGCGGAAGAGCTTCATAGGGCTTTGGCATAGAGTTAGGTGCTGCGGTGCATTCCTTTGCCTTGCATTGCTTGAGGTTGAGCGAGCGCAAGCCCTCAGCTAAGCGCGGGACCTGGCAGCAAGCAACAGAATCGGGAACTCTGCCCAATGGGCGCGAGCACGCGATACAGGCGACTGAAGACCAGGCTTAGCCATGCAAAAAGCCTCGTGACCAACCCTCAAATACCGTGAAAGCCCTGCAGCCTTCAAGAATTGCCGCAGGAATGGCCTTGGCACAAAATGTTTGGCAAGGCTTGATGCCATCTCCGACACATCTCTGAGTTTCTCGGAATGGAAGCATGCGGAGCGTATCATGCTCAACACTGCCGGCATGCGTCATAAGTCTTGAACGGGCTGTGTGTCGCCACAAGTCAACATCTTGGGAAACATGTGGGAGATTCCGAAAATAGGGAAACCTAATATAGTACCTCAAATAGTAGGATCCTTATTCTAAGGACCCCAAAATAAGGTACCCCCAATTTTCTGAAACTCACATGTGTTGTCCAAGTCGTCGGCACGAGGCTCGCATCGGTGAGGCCGGAATTCCTCGTGAAATGTCTACGCAATCTTCAGATGACAAGGCACGGATTAACATCCGTAGTACCGGGACTTTGGCTACTTAGTCTTGACGGTCGTTATCATTATTTGTATTGTTTGCACGGGTATTCTTGCTTTTCGGAACAGCAGAGGTTGCCGCCGTCGTGTGGCGAGTAGCAGAGGAAGCGTGGCAGTGAGTGGAAGTCTGGCAGTCGGGCCACTGAGCTAGTCAGCAGTAGCGACTCGTAGGCATCTCAGCACCAAGGACTCAGGGGGGAATACTGGTCTACTAGGAGTCGGCATTGACATCGGCGTCGTCACAAAGGTCGCCGTAATCACTACCATCCGAATCCACAGGTACACTACATACTGTACAGTATATATTTTGTTTTATACTGTACACTGTACTATATCTTGTATGTATATTCCATATTAAAATGTACATTTTGCAGTGGCGAGCAGCTGCTTGAGGCAGACTTCGTCGACCTTCTGCCTCTCCGGGAGCATGCCTGGAGATCGAAGCGAGCGCTCCCGCTCTCCCGCTTGAGGTAATATAGAGGCAATACTTGGAGGACCATGAGACTTAGTAAGTAAGGTTATAAGTACCTTAATTGGGGTTATACGTATAATTCCCCGAATTATAACCCTAGTTCCTAAGTCCCATGATCCTCTAAGTAGGGGCCTTAATAGTTAGAGCAGGGCTTTGGGTGTATGAATACCATAACCATAATAAGGAACCCCTGCACCAGTATTGGTCAATATTTCGGCCCCTACAGTAGCGCGCTCCCACTCTCCTGCATGAGGTACTTACACATGATGCAGCAAGTGTGACTCAGCACCATGAGCTGTATCGGAACTGTGTCGAAGGAATTCTTGGGAGGTTGAGGCATATATTCTGAATCCAGCCACGCACCCAAATTCTTAGACGGGGCCCCGAGCGAAAGAAAATCCGTCAGCAACACTATATCAGGCATGTATATCTTGCAAGAAAACTTTCCGTCCTATCATGGCCTGCCATGGTGCAAGTCCTGCCTGTCACGGAAAGAAGATCATGATCTGTCAGACCACGATGCGGAGCGGACAGCTTCGAGGAAAAGCCTGCAGCGGATCATGCAATGCTAGCACGGCACGGGGAAGAACGTTTACATGTCGCTTCTTAGAATTCTTTCCGATGTTACGATTCGCAGACGCCCCCGGTCGGAAATGAAAAGACTAAATGAAAGGCCTTGCAGCATCTTGCTGCACCCAGCCCCCGTAAATCCCAAACCTACCAAGCAGCCAGTGTTGAAATCCAGAGTGTCTGGAACTGTGGCTCGAAGGTCGCACTCCTCGTGCTCGCAAGGTTCGGGCTTTAACAAAAAGGCTTCTTATATGTTGTATCATATAGGTAGATACATGAATATATACATATACATATACATATACACATACCTCTTAGCTATCTATATGTATATTGCATATATAGAGAGAGAGTAAGAGCTATCTTTTTTGAACCCAGGCTCTGCTCCATCATCAGCTGTCTTTATGTATACATATGTAAGTATGAACATATACGGTACTTAAAGATATATATGTATGTGTATATATATATATATGTATATGTAGCATATGTTCTTGATGCATAAAGATCTGAAGCTCTGCAGGCACTGCTCCTGCAAATACTTCCGCGAACAAGCTGACGGCTTTTTCGGCGCGACACCTAAGGAGGCAAGTCCCGCGATTCCAGAGGTCATTAGTAAAGGCCCACGATGATCCGGAGTAAACCTGCATGTGAGGGTGCCCCACAAACAGGCAGTCTTGTTTCATCTTGTTTCAATGCCGCGATGCTAACTCCAGCAGGTAGCTTGCATTGCAGTCATGGAACAACCATCTGAAGGACGGGCTAAGGGAGGCACAAAGCTGCGGGGTGGCAAGCCACTGTGCCAGGTCAGCATTGTCAAGCCTTCAGCCCGAAGAGTCTGGCTGAAACGAGGGTCTGCAATTTGAGGGCTCGCGCCGGGTCTCTGTGCATGGTTTCAGATTCGTTGGCTACATTTCTCTTGTGGCACATACCAAGGATGACGTGAGATTTTTCTGCTCAGGAAATGAATCTGGGCCGCATGCTGGGCTGAGGCCAACTTCTAAACTGCATGCCGCTGCTGGTCGCTTGATGCAATGTCGCCTTGGACTATATTTCCCAAGACCGATTCACGAGGTTCCCAGTGGCACAAGCAGAAACAAGATGAGCCAACCAACACAGCAATCCAACGACATCCCGAAATCTCAAACCGTGTAGACCCAAACCCTTTAAAATACCTAAGCCGTTGTTTTATCCCAGACTCTTGATGCCACAAGCCCTCAACAAATACAAGTACGTACATTACGTATGTATGAACACGCACTGGTCTGTCTGTCTGTCTCTGTCTCTGTCTCTGTCTCTGTCCCCGTCTCCATCTCCATGTCCGTCTCCGTCTCTCTCTCTGTCTGTGTCGCTGTCTTACTTCCTTCCTTCGCTTGGGTACGAGTTCGGACCCGCGCCCCCATCCCATGTGTTTTCAGCGCGGGTGGCGTGTTACCCCCCCTCCCCGGGTCGATTGCAGTGGGGAGTGTCCGGTTGTCCAAAGCCCCCGACCCTCTGTCGCTCTGTCTGTCTCGGTAGGTAGGTAGGTAGGTCGGTGGGTGGGGGGGTCGGTAGGTGGGCCTATGTGTGCATGTGTGTATCTCGCATATGACATATCTATCTATCTATACATACATACATACACACAGACAGACTGACAGACAGACAAAGAGATATTCGTCTTTCCATTTAACCCCTCTCGGCATCCTCGGCTTACCGTCGGGAGGGCCGCCCGGCTGCAAGAAGCCACTCTCCGTCCTTCGCAAGAGGATCCGCGGAGCTCCAAGGGCCGAAATGGCGTCATACCGGCTAGTAGATTATAACACCATATAGTAGAGTCTAACATAGTATAATAACATCATATCATGTGTTATAGTAGTAATGAGACTATGTTATATGATGCTATATGTAGTTAGGGGCTGGGAACCCTAGCCCAAGAAAGGTTAACCTTTCCATTAATTGTGGTAGGATTATATGAACCCACAAAAGGTTACGTAAAGGTTGGCTAGTCAGCTTTTAATAAGACAAGCATGGTATCAGAAACTGTAAGACTCCAAGACGCAGTCAGGCAGAAGGTTGGATTGCTGCAGTCTCGCCAGACAACTCCCGGAGTACCGCTCAAACTCAAACCCATCATGGCGGATCCAATCCCAAGCAGTTCAAAGGCACAACCTCCACAAATCTAGAGGCGGTGCCACCTTCGCCAGGATCGTGAGACTGTGGCACTTTGTGGCCGCGAAGGCCGTGATGCAAAAGATCCCGCACTTCCAGGCCTCACGGATGAGTTAGACATGAAGCACATCAGCGATGAGTGGTAAGTAGTTATTCAGTAAGTCTTTGAATTCTTTGCAACACGTCAGAGACTGAGTAGGCAAGAAGAAGGCACCTTCCTAGAGATAGGTTACGCTGCGCTTGCAAAAAAGGCAAGCATGGCCCTGACAAGACATATTGTAAAAAAACGTAGCCTCAGCAAGCGAGCATCGCAGCATCCCGAGGCAGCTGCTGCTTGCAATGCAACTCTTCGAGCTTCTGCTCTTGCAAGCACTCTGAAACATGAGTGCTCAATGACTCAAGCCCCCAAATCTCCACAGACAAAAAACGCTCGCCAGGACTGGAGCCAGTGTGATCTACACAACAGGTCGAATAGCGTCAAGACCGCGACACTGCGAAAGCCCCCTCATGACGATTCTTTAGCGTGTCCAGCTCGTGCTCTCTGCCGAAGAAGAGCAGCAGTGGGCGTCTTTGTCGTGCCAGCGAACCTTGATTGTGCTGCCCTTCCGGTATTCTGGGACTGGACCTCAGGCGATAGAGCTATCGACGCATCTCGACGCGTTGCTCTTGCCTTGGCGCTGATACTGCGATTTGTACCACACCCGTTTCCGCACAGATGGAAGCAAGAATTCGTGTCCCTCGGTCGTCGTTTGCCTCATCCCGGAGCTGCCTAAGTAGAAGGCGGTGACACTCCTACCCCTGTCGTAGCATTTCATGGTCAACCCCTCGCATCGACACGTCCAATCATCACTTTTGTATGCCCACCCATGCCAATATGTCCTCGCAGCCTTCACACATCTCTGGCGCATTTCGCCGGCCCTCCCGCGGCCAAAACAACAGCGATCAAAATCCCAGCTGCCCGCGATAGCAATGGAAGCGATCTGGTAGCGCCTTGCTTCCCAGCCATCACAGGGCATGAACGCCGGGATCTGCAGGATCAGAAATGTCGAGGTTAGTGCTATTACTCGTCATATTCGTTCTACTTTAGTTTTTTAGTTTATGAAAATGTCTGGACCATGCCTACGCTCGCTATGACTGTTGGGAGTGCAGCTCTCCCACACTTACGAGTACCACATCTCTTAATAACGAGCGCTTATTCTGATATAGGGCCCTTTACCCTAAACCCTGATTGTGATCTAGTACTCAAAACCCTAAACCCATATTGTAATATAGGACCCGGAATCCTTACTTTAAGACACCTTCTGATAGTATAGCACCTCAACCCGAAACCCAAAACACCCCCCCCAAAGAAAGTCCCTATAGCAGCCCTGTAAGAACCCTTGTTATAGTATAGTACCCTACTACTATAATAATGGCTGCCCCTTAAGAACCCTTATAGTAAAATGGCACCCTACATAAACCCTAACCCTTCTTGTAAAAACAGGACCCTAGACCCTAAACATCCCTAAATGGGAGTTTCCGAAAACAGGGGATACCTTATTTTGGGGGTCCTTATAATAAGGATCCTACTATTTAGGGTACTATATTGGGGTCGCCTATTTTCGCAAACCCCGATGTAGAGGCCTTACTAATTAGAATGGAGTTTCGGTGGTTCCTCATTATAGTTATGGTATAATAGACCCCCAAACCCTATTCTCATTTTTGAAGAGAGTCCCCTCCTTCTCCGGCCTCCCGGCCGAGCGGTTCGCCGATCGAGGCCGAGAAGAGCCGGCACTCGTGGGCCTGGACCCCACCAGGGCTCAGAGGGCTTAGGGGTTTAGGGGCTTAGGGGTTTAGGGGTTTAGGAGTTTAGGGGCTTAGGGTTTAGGGTTCAGGGGTTTAGGGGTTTAGGGTTTAGGGGTTTCGGCGCTCACACTCGGACAATCCAGGCGAGGCATATGGTTCGGAGTCTGACAAGTGAAACGAAGCTAAAGGAAGTAGTCATGACGATAACGTTTTTTTTGACACTCACACTCGGACAAAGCCTGGCAAGGTCTATAGCGATCCTGGTCTTTCGTTAACTACCAACTGGCACGTGTCACCAGATGGAAATGTTGGAGATTCCCGAGCCTCGTTTCAGGCAAAGGAACACACTGTCAAGGACCACGCATAATACGCCAACACCAACTACACATGCATAGGTTTTCGTGGTTTTGACAGCAGCTCACCGTCCGGACAACCGACTAGCAAACCCCACACAACGTTTAGGGGTTTAGGAGTTTAGGGGCTTAGAGGTTCAAGGTTTACTAGGAGGTTCATGGGTAGTTCTAAATTGTGAGTGGGGTTATAATCAGGGCAGCCATACTTAGAACCCATATTAGGGGACTTATCACCCCACTTGTCTCTACCCATGAACCTCCAAGTCGAGTGCCATAGTATAGTAGGGTTTAGAGTGCCATAGTACAATAAGGGTGGAGTGCCATAGTACACTCAGGGTTTAGAGTTTGGAGTGGCACAGTATGCTAAAGGTTTCGGGTACATCAGTGCTATAGTATAGTAAGGGTTTAAATAAAATGGGTTTAAGGCACCATAGTCTAGTAAAAGGGCAGAGCTCTGCTGAAGCCTCCGACGCCTAAGAGCTAATTAAGAAGTGAAAGGACCTTAATGAACCCTTATTTATAAACCCCTTAGAGAATTCTAGGCGAAGGTAAACCGTCGAATTAGGTTTCGGCGCTCGCACTCGGACTGTCCAGCGTGAGCTGCGTGTATACATCCTTCTGAGGTGGAACATTGGACTAGCCACTGAACAACACTTTTAGAGACCAGGCGGGGCGAGTCTTTGGGACTTCCTTTCTTAGCAGGCCATCCTAGTGCCTAGTGCCAGAAGTCCTCGTTAGTCAGCAAGTGCGGGCAAGGGAACACGCACTGTGAAACTAACTCAACCTATTCAGGAAAAGGGGGAAACGCCGGGGATAAGTTCAGCTGACTGTGGGCCTCAATCGTTCTACTGCGTCAAATAGAAAGGTGAAACAAACAGCATCGCTGGCGTGAGGATTACATGCCGGACATGTGAGATCAGTTCTTCGAAGCAGAGAACCTAGACCTAGTAGCGCGGGTATGAACTAAGAGTTGTTGTTGCCTCCTGTGTGGCCATGACGAGGCGGTGATGCAGAAGCAAATTGCGAATACGTCTACAGTCAATTTATTTGGGCAGCCAATTACATCCTAGGGTTTTGCCTCTAGTAGTAAATGTAGTAGATGAACCGATGACATCATAATTTGGAAAATCACACCAACAGGCGGAAAACGGATACTAAGTAAGCACAGTCATACTTACATACCGGCCTTACAGCGGCCTTACAGCTGAAGTCGTCAGATTCACCACACTTACCTTTGGTTAGTAGGAAATGGAGGAATGCGGTACAAGTATAACTACTAATACTACCATATTACTATCATATTACTACCATATAACTGTACTATACTACTATTACTACCTCTCTTCCATTCCCTACTAACCAAAGGTAAGCCACAGAGTTCTTTAGGCCCTGGCCTGCTGCTCATTGATACCTGGAGAATATCCTTCCGTTCCTCAGCCGGCCACGAGAAACTGCACTGGCTCACCACACCGGGTGATGCAACATTTTTGAACCCAGGCTCTATGCCATCCGGTTTAGGGTTTAGGGTGATACAGCATGATACAACAACCTAGCAATGGCAATTCGAGAGCGACTGCCGATCGTACCCTCGAAACCCTATATGCCAGAAACCCCTACCGTAAACGACTCAGGGCAGCCTAGTGGCGCAAAGGACCGGCTTCGGTGTTTCGAGGCAAGGCAGAGAGCGTGCGATGGACGGATCCAAAGGACTCCTCAAGCTCCAGGTAGTTGCATCTACCCGTAGCAGTAGCATCAGTAGTAGTAGTAGTAGTAGTAGTAGTAGTAGTAGTAGTAGTAGTAGTAGTAGTAGCAGTATCAGTAGCAGTAGCAGTAGCAGTAGTAGTAGTAGTAGTAGTAGTAGTAGTAGTAGTAGTAGTAGTAGTAGTAGTAGTAGTAGTAGTAGTACTACTAGTAGTAGTAGTAGTAGTAGTAGTAGTAGTAGTAGTAGTAGTAGTAGTAGTATTAGTAGCAGTAGCAGTAGCAGTAGCAGTAGCAGTAGCAGTAGCAGTAGCAGTAGCAGTAGCAGTAGCAGTAGCAGTAGCAGTAGCAGTAGCAGTAGGAGGAGGAGTAGTAGTAGTAGTAGTAGTAGTAGTAGTAGTAGTAGTAGTAGTAGTGAGTAGTAGTGAGTAGTAGTCGTTGTCGTTTCGTCGTGGAAGTACGAGTGGGAGGGACAGTACAAGTCAATTGGTTCTTCGCGGTGGCTGGCCCTGCAGTGGAAAGCCTCCTGCCGGCCCCTACCAGTAGCCTGCCAAAAACTCTTGGCGACCCACTGCCTTCCGCAGCATTAGATGGCAGAGGTCGAAGGAGGAGAGGAGCAGTGCATTGTACGATAATCATCAAAAGGAAAACTATGACTTAGAATTGCTAATCTATTCAGGCCCCCATATGCCCCCATAGGTGTGAGTGAAGGTGCGCGCTTCTGGAATTACATCGTTCTAACAGCCCTCTCCGTCTGACACCGCCAGCGCTGGCAGGCCGCGAAGCCATGTCCCTGCGCAAAGAAGGTGCGATGGCGGCTAAGTGTCATCACAAGGCACAGCACGTCACCATTCTCCCTCTAGCTGTAGAGTAGCTGGTGTCTCGCAGTCCCTGCAATTTCTATCGGCCGTCCACGCCTCAGCATCGCACCCGGGAGCTGGCGGTGCTGAGCGCCTCAGCGCAATGGAAACCTGCCCTCTCGGAATCGATGCCTCAAATAGGGTAGGGTTTTTTTAAAGCCCCAAAAGGGAGAAGGGGCCCTAAACCTAGGTAGTACCCTTGCAAATCCCTAAAAGGAACCCCTTATAGTACCCTAAACCCAAATCTCCCCTTCGATGACTTTACAACCGCATTCCTTCTCAAGCGCTGCCGGAATCGAACACTTTGCAGAAACCGAGTCGCTGTGAGGCCGAGGAGGGGCCCAACGCCCGATGCTTGAAGGCTGGCTCACAACATTCATCAGGTTCCTTGGCGTCGATGGAGTCTGTCTATGAGGACTTTCAACTCAGAATGATACTAATAACAATGCTGACAACAAGTTAAGTTTCTATCGAAATACCAGAAACAACAATAATAATAGTAGTAATACTATCTCCGCGGTCTGAACACCCCTGCCCTGAGGTCAATTTGCATTCTGCATGGGCGTCACGTCTGCATGGTCCAGACTTGCGCGAAAACAAACTCTACGACGGCGAAACGACATAGATGCATCCATGAACGAATAAAAGACTGATCCCCTGTAATCTCCGAGGTGCTTTGAAATGCTTGTGGGAAGCTTGCTGACGGCCTTCCTGCAGCAGTCGACACCACCGGTGAAATCTGCGCATGGTGCGTGACCGCTTCTCGTTTTCGTCTATGAGGTTAACGCAGCGACGCAGCGACGTGCACACTCTTCTCTTCGCCTCTTGGTGTTGTGAACCGTTACGAGCAGCCTCCGGCAAAGAGCTGAGAGACAGCAAACCATACTCGGGGAACCTGGAGTTCCACCGATGAAAGAAAGACTTTACTTCAACCAAGCTCGAAAAGCCCTAAGAAGTGGCGGATCCTGGCTTTGGATAGAGCACCAGGGCAGCCGTGCGCAGAGGCCCACTGCGACTGTTCAACAGCTTCTCGGAACTTCCTTGGAGCTCGGAGGCTTTCGATGTGAGTCCGGCTCCCCATGACACTTGGAGGATCATGGGACTTAGTAAGTAAGGTTACCAGTAGCTTAATTGGGGTTATAAGTATAGTTACCCTTATTATAACCCTAGTTACTAAGTCCCATGATCCTTTAAGCAAAAAAGACCGAACCATGCTTGAAGGAGAGCACGGGATCGAGAATCTAAAGCGTGCCAAACAATAGCGTGAAGAGTTTGTAAGAGCTACGCCTTGGTGCGCCATAGTTATAAGTAGGTTTATAATCTATAAGCAGGGTAACTGTACTTATAACCCATATTAGGGGACTTTTAACCCCATGCTTCGACATGCGAGCCTACCCTGCAGCCGCGAATCTGAAAAGTGTCCGATTTGGCAACTTGGCCACCTCGGATTCGCAGAAGGAGCAACCCGAAACAGCCGTCCGACACAACGAAGACTTCCCAAGCACGGCAGCAGCTGAGCGGCAGCCAGGTTCATCTACAGGCTGCGACTCCTCGTGTTCTGGGTCCGAGAAATCTGTTGCAGGCCTGTCGTTGCGTGCCCGGTCATGATACAAGCCTCGGCCAGCAATGAAAACGGCAGTGCACCACAGCACTCAAAACGAAACGCAGAGTTTTAGGCCGGTAGCTCCAGAAGCCCTCGTGCCGCAATCGTCGGTCATGCAGACGGCTCAGCACGACATCGTCGTCCTCCTGCCGATTGATGAATAATTACTGGCCAGCAGTCAGAAGAATCAGCTCAGCTTCCTGTTACTTTCACGTTACGATGAAAAAGATACCATAATATAGCTTCAAGCACAGACATAAATGGGCTTGGCAGTGGACGAGGGCAAAAATACCGATTTGCGATGTGACAATCAAACACCTTTTTGTATTTCCGATTGTAAGATAACACAATAGATCTAATCGTGCACACTTCCTCTTCCAGTCTCAGGCCTTGTAGCCCCACTCGAGCATCTTAATATTCATCTCCCAGTTCGACACCTGCGCCGCGATGGTCCTCGGGGTGAGGCGTGGTGTGGATGTCAAACATTCATCTTAGAGTATCTTATCGACATATTATTGTAGTCCTACAGACATAATATAGTAACCTTGAAGGAATGCTATACTATACTATATAATCTTATAATGGGGAGCTTTTTTATGGGGGGGGCAGACTATCCGACCACTGAACTCCCCCTTAGGGGATAATGCCCCTTCTGCGGGGATTGCGCGTGTCTTCTGCGGGGAAGGCTTCGACTTCTGGGAATATATGTATGCCCAATCTTCTGTGGCAGAACCTAGATGTATGCCAAAACTTCTGTGGCAGAAACTAGATTTACAGCAGCAAAATGTATCTACTGATGTTGATATTCGGAATATCATGTCATTGTTTAATACTGATGTTGACATTAGCATAAGTTAACACTTTTGTTCTCAAAAGTCATGTTGTAACTGTCAATATTCATGCTAGTATAATTTGTTAAACATGTACCAAGACTTAAGTTATTAAATCAAAACGAGCACTGTACTTCGCAGGATTCTAAAACATGCTGTCGTGACATCGTTTCGTTCCATGAGCTACCGACTTACCTCTACTGCTGGACGGCGCAGTGGGGTGGACCCTGGGCTACTTCCTGATCCGCGTGCTCGTGATCCTAGTTACTACCATACAAACGAATAAACGACGACACGAGTAGTGTAAAATAGATAGCAACAGTCCCGGCCACGACTGAAACAGGAACCAGCCCCTTCCGCAGCCACCAGTGTCAACCCCCCCGACGCCAAGCTCCGAGTTGGCTCCGCCTGCGAGCAAGGGAGGTGACTTCACGATTGGTTGATTAAGGCGTCGAGTTTGGGGTCGCAGGATTAGTTTCAGGTTCAGTTGAATTAGGATTGAAATGCTCTGAAAAGCTTTGGTTAGGATTTGGTGTTTGGGGTTCAGTGGTGCAGAGACCCTAGCCCAAACTCTGTGGTGTGTGGGAGTTACGGTAAGTATCGTAGTGGATCACTACCTGACCTAGCCTAGTCTGGTTATTTAAAGTTTAGGATGCAGGTCTTAAATTTAATTATTAATTAAAGTTTAGTTTAGGGTTACGGTTAGGCTTGTTGTTCGGAGTTCGGGTCCGGCATTGGTCCATGGACTGGTGCTTAAATGGGTCAGGGCTCCTTCAGGTGCAGAGCTTTAATGCCTGAAGCCCTAGAGGTTGTCATGTCAGTCGAGCAATATTGATTCATTGATATGACTGATTCAACAGAAAAAAGAAAACTTCATGGGGATTGAGGTCTAGACTCTCTACGGGACCCTGGCTGCAGTAGCAACGTATCTCTTAGTCTGATTCGTCTTGGATTAGAGCTTTTCCTGCAAGCGGCTGGCACGGTCTGAGTATTTGCTCATGGCAGCGCGCTGCCTGCGGGGCCCGTGGGCCACCCTGGGTGAAACTCCATTTTGGGGCTCAAGTCATAAGAAGGTTCATGGGAGATTGAGAAGCTAAATTCAAAACCTCGTTTGGACTATTATAATAATTGGACAGGTGTGTCCACGATCCTATGACATGATCCCTTGGAAGGGACAGGCCTCACCTGTCAATGACGTGTGGAGCTCCCACACCGCCTTTAAACAGAACTTGACTGCCGCCTCGTCGCTGCCTGAGCATCGCACATGATGTATACTAAATAGTTTGACATAGAATTAATTGCACAAGTAAGTTTTGTTGCAGTTCTTGAACCATGGAATCTGAATCAATATGGGCCCTATTTAATGACGACCTGTTTCGAAGTCAATTCAAAGGTTCCAAATTTGATTGTACCCGGAGCGTCGTCTAAGTGCAGGGCCTGTGCCCCTAGCTTGGTTTCAAGTTTCGTTCACCCGACAAGGCCTAATAAAGCACCCTTGGGATTCTAAATTATGGCCCTCAAGCCCAAAGGGGTAAATGAATGAATTTAGCATTATTTAAATTTAATACCTATGGATACAAATGTAAACCTTATCCTCAATAGAACACATTGAGGATAGCAATTTTGTCCGACAAGCCTGCTATCCCCCAAGACCGCGATTTGCTCCATCGGTCTTCAGCAGCCCCAGTGCCGTAGTATACTCGCCAGCGTCCATTGTCGGGATCACGCCTGATGCGGGCAGTTTCTGGCAGGAATTCGGCAGCCCGCTCCTGGGTCCATTCTTGGACCACGCTGGTACCAATTGGCTTTCGCCTCCCAGTCCCAGTCGCAGGTCTGGATGCTGCACTCTCGCCCTGGCGACTCGCAAAGGTCTTTCGGACGGCCTTTGCCATGGCAATGGTCACCTGAACATGCACGGGACAGGTTGGGATTAGCACCACTCCAGCGCATGTAATTCTGAAAGGCAGCAAATTCTGCAACTGCTACTTACTCTCTCGGATCTCAATAGAAAAACAGAGGCACTGTAAATCATACACACATGACATTGACATTGCCCAGGCTGGAATCTGGAAACAAACGTTCAAAAACCGAAGACCCAAACTGCCTATCGCAAGAACGTGGGCCATAAGCAATCCAAAGGTCAGTCACTGATGATTACTAATTGTGAGTTGCTTTGGAGCTGGCCTCCTGTTTCAACTCACTGGGACGAGCACTACTCGTACTACTGCTACGACGGACTTACACGAATCGAAGTACTGATTCAGCTACGCTACTGTTACTGGTGTGAAACAAGTTTTATTCAGATTCTCGGCAATGCAGTCAAAGAGCTTTGGACCTCCCGCCTGTTTTTCATTTTCAACCTATACTTATAGCAGCAAAGGAATGAAAATCCAGGCCAAACTCAAGAACCTTAAATTAAGCCGGCCTTCTCTTCGGTTGAAAGATGCTGCAGAAACTGCGCATTGTCCTTCCACTCATCAGCTGTCATCGCGTCCTGAACCTCAGACGACTGCAAGAACTCGAGATGCTCATCTTTCAGCTTCCTGGACACCACAGTCTTCTTCATGATTTCAGCTACGGCAGCATCACTGCATTTCAGTGCACCAGAAATTGCACGCCAGATGTGGTCTGCCGCTTGCTCCGCAGTGTCTGTCAGATCTGTCGCAGCACCCTCGCCATCATCGTCCTCCGCTGCATCTTGGTCCTCGTCTTCCCACGGAACAGCTTCCGCATCCGTCTGGCCAAGAAGCTCCTGCAAAGAAGGGATCATCTAGCCTCCTGATGGGATCCCCTTGGAAAGACATGCAAACTCTTGCATTTCCTACTCCTACCCTCAACCCAACTGGCCTTGCGGATTCTTTTGACCAATGGCAACGGGATGCCCTGGAAGCCGTTTTTGGCCAAATGTTGCAGCAATGAGTTCTGGCTGCTGGTGCTCCTTGTAACAATACCTTGGCTGACTTCTGAAACCCTCCTAAAAGTTTAAACTTTTAGCCTCCTTATTTTGAGTCGTATAGAAACCCAAAAAGTTAAAGTCCAAAGAGCCAACCAGAAGAACGCCAAGATACCAGGTCTCTCTGTGCTTGCCTGATTCTTCTTGGCTTCCAGAAATTGCCGCAGCGGCGAAACTGTTTCGCACTGAAGAACCTGGTATTCCTCCGTGTTCAGGACGACCTCCCATCGAAGCTGGTGCTTCCCCGTGACCTCCCAGCTCGGAGCCCATGAAGCTTTGGGCCATGTCCCAGAAAGCTTTGTTGCTGGCCACAGAAGCACTGTCGTGGAATCGGGGAATAAACCACAGACATACCAAACCTCTGATTGCCCCCGCCGCCTGATCAAATCTCCAGTCTGCAGCATGCCACTGCGCCAGAAGCCCGTCTCCACCGGGCTGCATGCAAGCATCAGGGCGATACCTGAGGCTTTGCCAGCCAAGGACATCGCGTTGAAAGTCGGCCAAGTGGCCCTCTTCCCTGGCTTGCCCGGAAGAGCTTTGAACCTTGTGGGCAGTACCGTCAAAGTTCCCAGTAGCCTACTAGCCTCCTGCTAATATTACTACTACTACTACTACTACTACTACTACTACTACTACTACTACTACTACTACTACTACTACTACTACTACTACTACTACTACTACTACTACTACTACTACTACTACTACTACTACTACTACTACTACTTACTAGGAATACTACTACTACTACTACTACTATTACTACTATTGCTACCATTACTACTGCTACGATTACGACGACCACTGCCACAAGTATTGCCACTGCTGCTACTACAACTACAAGCTATGATTACTACTACTACTACTACTACTACTACTACTACTACTACTACTACTACTACTACTACTACTACTACTACTACTACTACTACTACTACTACTACTACTACATGGCTATGCTGATTTCAGATTTCAGATTGCTGATTTCAGACTGCTGATTTCAGACGAAGCTGATTTCAGACGGCTGATTTCAGACTGCTGATTTCAGACGAAGCTGATTTCAGACGGCTGATTTCAGACTGCTGATTTCAGACGAAGCTGATTTCAGACGGCTGATTTCAGACTGCTGATTTCAGACAAAGTTCCACGCATATTGTATAGGAGCCCCAAGCCCTAGTCTAGTCAATAAGGCCCCTGCATTGCAGCCATCAATCAAGAGTGAGAAAATGCCATTGAACACCAGAGTTTTCAAGGAGGCAGTTCCGGCCGCCTAAAAACTCGTCTGAGCCTGACCTGACTGAGCACAGCTGGCGGTTTCAGCTGGGGGAACAGTAGTTAGTAGGGCTCCTTAAAGGGACCCTCTCTCTCTCTCTTCTCTCTTTCCTTCTCTTTGTCTCTCTTGCGGCCTCCCCTGCAGTCTGAAGGCACTGTGCAGCCCTCGCTCTTCCACCCCAAGTGGGCGACAAAGCACTGGCGCTGTCCCCGCTCGGCAACATGCACCCCTGTGTGACCGCCGGCCGCACGGTCAGGGGGAGAGGATTGTCGAAACGGGTGAGCACAGGATCCTGCCCAGCAGACGCATTAGCCCATGTGCTCTGCTGTCATCCACCGAAGTGGGTTGGCCAGAAGCAGGAACGTATGGCACTTCAGTCCCGACACCCGGCCAACGGTGTCTCGCATGTTCTGCGTGGGTAAGGACAACGACAAAGCAATTCAAGCAAGGTCAAGCTCATGCCAAGAACAAACATGCCATGCCAATTCTCTCTTTCTCTCTTTCCTTGTCTTTGTCTCTCTTGCGGCCTCCCCTGCAATCTGAAGGCACTGTGCAACCCTCGCCCAGTTCCACCCCAAGTGGGCGCCAAGGCACTGGGCTGTCCCCGCTCGGGAAGCAAGCACCCCTATGTGACCGCCGGTCAGGGGGAGAGGGTTGCCGAACGGGTGAGCACAGGATCCTGCCCAGCAGACGCATTAGCCCATGTGCTCTGCTGTCATCCACCGAAGTGGGTTGGCCAAAGCAGGAACGTATGGCACTTCAGTCCCGACACCCGGCCAACGGTGTCTCGCATGTTCTGCGTGGGTAAGGACGGACTGACTAAGGACAACGACAAAGCAAGCAAGGTCAAGCTCATGCATGCTAAGAACAAGAATGGTCTAGAAAAGTGTTTGAAGTTCTCCGCAGATACAACGAATAATTTGGAATAATTTCGAAGAATTTCGAAGATTTACGAAGATCTGAGAAGAATGGTCTAGAAAAGTGTTTGAAGTTCTCCGCAGATACAACGAATAATTTGGAATATTTTGGGATAATTTCGAATAATTTCGAATAGTTTCGAATAATTTCGAAGATTTACGAAGATCTAAGAATAATGGTGAAGAACCTGGAAGAATGAAGAATATTATGGAAGTTTACCGAAGAAAACTGAATATTTCCGGCAGAAATTTCTGAATATTGTTGAATAGGGCACTGAGAAGTACCCTTCTGAGAACCCTCCCTATCCTCATAGAAGAGTAGTAGTAGTAGTAGTAGTAGTAGTAGTAGTAGTAGTAGTAGTAGTAGTAGTAGTAGTAGTAGTAGTAGTAGTAGTAGTAGTAGTAATAGTAGTAGTAAGTAGTAGGTAGTAGTAGTAGTAGTAGTGGTGGTAGTAGTAGTAGTAGTAATAATGGTACAAACTGCAAATCACTATAACACCATGCGCAAGCAACACAAGCCAAGGTCGGTCAGTCAACACAGCCATGTCACAAGAACGAGCGGCCTCCCTTCTTTGTTCGGACTGGCTGGAATCTGGCCTGGCCGAACCAGCAAAACCAGTTTTGCCCCAGCACGGCGCATTAGCCCATATGCCCGGCTGTCATCTACCCCCCTGCCGTGGGGCAGGTTGGCCTCAAGGCAAAGCCGAACGCCTCACACCCGGCCAATGGTGTGGGGAGCAACCCAGATGATGGGGCAGGGGTTGACTCCTCAGGTAAGGCAACCAAGACGAACGGCACTCAAGCAAAGCAATCATGAATCATGACAATCAATCAAGTGGCCTCCCAATGCCTCCTAGGATCTGGTACTGACGGTTAGTCTGCCTACCCACGCCCCCGCAGGCGCATAAGCGCATCGCCCTGCGACAGCCCGGCGCAAGGCTGTTTGGCCCTGGGGCGTTGGGTTGCAGGGCATTCCGAGCCAGTATATATACTGACTCAGACCGCATTCGCCTAGACTGTGCCCCACACCCGGCCAGCGGTGTGAACGCCCTCTCTGTTACTGAAGCGCCAAGAGGACATTTTGGTAAGGCAATCAATCATTCAAGTCAAGCAAGAATGGATCACAGGAGCTCCTGCTGCCTACTATTACTACTACTACTACTACTACCTACTACTACTACTACTACTACTACTACTACTACTACTACTACTACTACTACTACTACTACTACTACTACTACTACTACTACTACTACTACTACTACTACTACTACACTACTACTACTACTACTACTACTACTACTACTACTACTACTACTACTACTACTACTACTACTACTACTACTACTACTACTACTACTACTACTACTACTACTACTACTACTACTACTACTACTACTACTACTACTACTACTACTACTAGTACTACTACTACTACTACTACTACTACTACTACTACTACTACTACTACTACTACTACTACTACTACTACTACTACTACTACTACTACTACTACTACTACTACTACTACTACTACTACTACTACTACTACTACTACTACTACTACTACTACTACTACTACTACTACTACTACTACTACTACTACTACTACTACTACTACTACTACTACTACTACTACTACTACTACTACTACTACTACTACTACTACTACTACTACTACTACTACTACTACTACTACTACTACTACTACTACACTACTACTACTAACTACTACTACTACTACTACTACTACTACTACTACTTATTACTACTACTAGTACTACTACTACTACTACTACTACTACTACTACTACTACTACTTCTACTACTACTACTTACTACTACTACGACTACGACTACGACTAAGCATTCCTGCCTACTGCACAGCCGAAACCCTAAAGCCTGAACCCTAGAGCTCAAAATTCAATGCAATTGTAGTAATGTTAAATGAGCCAAGACACTCCTCCATACTGGCATCCAACCGCTTGCAGTGGTAGATGGTGCTGGGGAGCTGCTCGCCTGCCGCGGCCGGACAAGCGGGAAGATCGATCTCAGAGAAGCTGTAGACGTCCGACAAGACCTGCTTGTTCAGCACAGTAGCCCAAACTTCCTGGCTTGAAAGGCGCCTCTGGGCAACTTGCCGCTCTGCCAGCTCCAGACGCTGGAACGCATCTTCACACACAGCAGTTGTCGCAATAGAACGAGCAATCCCTCTCAGATATGTTTCCAGCTCGGTAGATACCGTTGCAAAGTCGCTGCTTGCTAAGTGCTGAAACACCTCTCGCACCAGGACCTCGTTCAAGCAGCTGCGTGCAACTGTGCGTCTCCACGCTGGAAGTGGGCGATCTCGGTGGGCAAGCCAAGCTGTCCATACCTTCTTGCAGTGGAGCAGCGTGCGCTCGCGTTCCTGTCAAAGGAAAGGAAACAACAAATTCAACCAATCAATTGGTACGCTCCGTTACTATATCTCATTGACTCATTCTCCGGACTGTTCATTGTGTTTGCTTCCTGCCTGCAAGTCGAGCAGGGCGAGGAAAGCCGAAGGGAAGGCAAACAGTCTCACTGCTTCAGCAGAAAGCCAAGAAAAAGCAGTCAAAAGCACCAGTCGCTGCATGCCATGTGCCAGTTCATCTTGCTCCAAGACCTCTGCATCGTCTGGTCGCAAACGGATGATTTGCGAGTTCCCACGAAAGTCTTGGACGGCCAGTCCTCCAGCTGCCAACTTCTCTGGGTCACGCAGGGTTCCCATTATTGCAGAAATGGCTGGAAGCAAATTGCTGCCAGAAGCCAAAGCAATGTTGTAGGACTCACACTGCGCCCTGGACCGAAGGCTTGAGCGAATCTCTGAATACCAGCTTCGCGCACTTTCGGACATGGCCAGGATGAAGCCGGCTGTTCGCAGCAGCGGTTCGTCGGCTAAGATGGCCTTAGTGAGGGTAATGGGCGGAACGACCTTTCGCTATCTGCGAACCTTGAAGTGACCTACTATTCTAACACCCAACTAACTTTAAACAGTCTTCGACGAGTCGCGCCCTGCACTTTTAGTGACCCTGAACTCTGAAAGGTCAGCGGCACGACCCTTCGCCGTGGGAAGCCCTAAGGCCCTAAGCTTGAATTAACTCCGAACCTTAGATTGCAAACCGCACTGAAGCGCCTGAACCCTATACTTAATCAAATACTGACTACACCGTACTCGAACCCGAGAAATCTATAACCGAGATCAGTGTCACACTCCCAAAGCACATTTATTTATGACGAGTATTTGGCGCTGCATTGCTACATTTCACGGCAGAACTATTGGTTAGCAAACTTAAGGTAAGGTTCCGAGTTCAGGCTAAGGATGGGTTTGGGGTCTAAGGTCGAGGGTGTCACTTCAGGTGGCGAAGGGCCGTGCCTCCCAAGTAACCCAGTCTCAGGGAAACCCGGGGTAGAGTGATTCAGGTCTGGGTTCTTTAAAACTTTTTCAGGCAGGCCCTAGGGATGAGTCAAACTGACCTGTCTCTCATGATGTGAGCTGAGGGAATTTCAGCCTTAACTTACTAGGCCCATACAAGATCATGAGATTGACACGAGCTATGTGGCCCACACCAATCGTATCATGTTTGTTATTCACCTGTTAAGTTGGTTCATTGTTAGCTCTTCTTCTTCCAATTTATTTGGGTTTGCCGATTACTCGGCTTTGTCGTTACTTTGTAACAATTCTGCTACGCTCGTATACAAGCAATTTTATCAACCCTTCCCAACTTAATTAAACCTATCAAACATACCCGAGTAAAGTAGCGCAGCACAAGCAAAACTAACAAACCTAGCTCAGAAAGCCACAAATATTTACTAGTCAGTCAAGTTGCCGTGACTGCATGGAGGGTGTTCTTGCACCGTGACTGCAAGTTCGATCGCCTCAGCCGCTCACGCCGCATCGTGCCGGACTCCTCCGCAGGTGCTGCGGACTCGGTGAGGCTTTCCAGCGTCGCCCCAGCATCAGCACTTTTTTGAAGAAAGCCCTGAAGAAAGCCCATCTGGATCCCAAAGAACACCAGAAGGGCAAATTGCAGATGCATGTCACCCGGCGACTCCAGCCGTGCCAGAAATGCCGTTTGCCAGGAGAACCACCTGGAGGGTTGCACTTTGTTCCCTCGACGGTGCAGAAATGAGACATCCCCACGTCTCATGTCGATCAACAGCTGTCGAGCGCTCATGTTCACATTGAAGCGCTTCAAGCGAGCCAGGATCTGCTGAAACAGTGGGTCTCCAGCCTCAAAAGTGGCTGTGTACTCTTTCCACATTTCAGCAATGCTTGAGTACCATTTCTGCGAAGCCCAGGGCCCATCGTGCAAGTTCAGCCACACCGTGGTCAGCGACACCGCAGGATACATCCCAGCCTTTTTGATTCCGTTGAGGAGGCTCTTCCACATACAATGGTATGGGTCTTCAAGCATGAACTTGCGGATGCCCAAGTGGAAGGTTTCAAAGGCATCCTCACTGCAAGGGATGGAACCTTGGTCAGAGACCTCCACCAACGTTGGCCTCGATGTCAGAGGCAGGCCACTGTCCTCATTTCTGCAGGGTTCGGCGCAAACTGTCCCATAGACAAGTTAATTAACCGCATAAATCTTCGTGACGGTGCTTTAATATTTAAATATGATTGTATATGAAAAACTGTCCAGGTCACTTCCTACTTACTTAGCGCCAAGCCTCTGACTCCTTGCCCGCAAATGCCACCAGCCCTTCCCCGTGCACAGACCGCAGCATGTTGTCTTTGGCGAGGAGGAGATCGTATGCGCTCAGACGTGTCGGCTGAGGCGTTGCAGCCTCATTCTTCTTCCGCCGCTTCGTGGCCGGCTCATCCTGCTGCACTTCAGCTTCCCGCTTCCTCTCCTTTTTGAGGAACTGTTTCGCCTTTGCCAGCCAGGCATCTTTGCACTCCCGTGTGATGTTCTCGCCTGGCTGGTCGACCCGCAACTGTGTGTCTCTGAGGTCCTCTGGGGAACAGGATTGACTTGCCGGACTTGCCTACCTGCTTACAGCGGGCCCGTCGCTGTTACAAGAGAAAGGATCCCTGGGTAACATGATCGGCATCTACGTCATGTTTTTCAAGTCAGAGTTCACAGCAGGAACTCCATGGGCTAAGATGGTGAGCCTAGCCATGCTCAACACTTTTGGAACTAGACTCAGACAAGCAGGACACGCTGCCTAACTTATTCACACAAAACCCACCCATAAGCAGTACTATGGAATGTCGCCAAGCAACTACTATTTACGAGTTAATACCTACTACTTACCACTCCACTTACTATACTTACTACTGACTACTCACTACTCACAACTAACTGGGACTACGACTACTACTACTACTACAACTACTACAACTACTAACTACGAACTACTACATACTACATACTACATACTAACTACTAACTACTACTAACTACTAACTACTAACTAACTACTAACTAACTACTAACTACTAACTACTAACTACTAACTACTAACTACTAACTACTATCTACTAACTACTAACTACTAACTACTAACTACTAACTACTAACTACTAACTACTACATACTAACTTCTAACTTCTAACTACTAACTACTAACTAGTAACTACTAGCTACTAACTACTAACTACTAACTACTAACTACTAATTACTAACTACTACTACTACTACTACTAACTACTACTACTACTACTACTACTTCTACTACTACTACTACTACTACTGCTACTACTACTACTACTACTACTGCTACTACTACTACTACTACTACTACTACTACTACTACTACTACTAACTACTACTACTACTACTACTAACTACTACTACTACTACTACTACTACTACTACTACTACTACTACTACTACTACTACTACTACTAGTACTACTACTACAACTACTACTACTGCAGGCCATTTGGTGCTACTAAATTAAATATACGTCAGTGATACCCGGGGGCGCACCACTAGTACTTGTAATATACGACTGCGCAAGGCAATAATAATGACAATATTAATTAATAATAATTAATACTAATTAATAATAATAATATGGTATTAATAATAACCAATTTCTATAGTGATACAAGGTTCAGGGCTTCCAGTTACTCTGGCATTGGTTTTTGGGCGGTTTCCGCGTTCCGGGTTCTGTCAGGGTATTTTAAGAAGTTAGAATACTTTAGTCCAATATTGCTGAAATTGGGAGGGGGTTAATTAGGGTTAATTAATTAATGGTTATGGTTTTGAATAAGCAGGTTCGGGGTTCAGCCTTCCAGGTTCACTCACAGCTTGACTCGGCGAAGGGTCCTGCCGCCTATAAATAATAACGGTCTAGTTACTCGTGACAGTGACTGGTCTCCGGACTTAGGCTCTAGTCTAGGGTTCAGGGTTTTCGACGCTCACACTCGCACGAAGCAGGCAAGGCTCCACATAGTTTAAATAGGGTTCGACGAGATTTAATTTCACAGCTGATTATTTGAGCGTTTCTTCGGGTTCATGATAATTTCAGATTGGTCTAAGGTCAATGGCTTCACCTCTCGTGTCGCAGGGTCGTGTCTCGAAAGTAAGCCGGTGTCATTATGAGGGAAACTTGAGGTTTGGCTTTGTTTTCGACGCAACCCCGAGTTACAGTCAAGCAACTGACTGTAGCCTTAAGCTACCAGGCCCGCAGAAGTGCATGAAATTGACATGAGCCGTGACGCCCACGCCCAGGGGCCATCTCATCAGATCTATCACCTGTTAATTCAGGCTATAGGGCTTGGTAGTCTTACTAGGCATTGGCCCGAAGCTTCACTAATAATTTTTTAACAATATCTTCTGGATCCGAGATGTGCTGCATAGCTACGTAGCACAAAACAGCTGTGCAAAGACAGGGCCAAGACAAAAGCCAAGCGTGACAGGGACTGTTCAACACTGCGACCTGAACGTATGCACGAAGCCATTAGACCGTTAGTTAATTAACAGTTATACAAATTTTGGTCGGTTTATTTAATTGCGATGAAAAGCTGAAGAAAGAACTTCTGCGTCAAGTCAGTCCTGCGGCGGAAACCAGAACGTAACACCAGAGGAGGCCATGCCGGCAACAAGGTATCTCTGCTTTCCACCAACCCGGCTCTCGTCACCGGCTATGGAAACTATCTTGTTACCATCGACCTCGCGGCGGCAACCTAGCCAGTAGCGCAAAAGGTCATTCTTTCCAGGCAGCTTTCGAATGTTGTCCGGTTGTTTGTCTGTGCTCTTTTTTGCCTTCCGTTTCGCAGCTGCTGCTTTCCGCTTGCTGATCGACTTGCGGGCCTGCTGCATTATCAGCGTTCTGTCAGACATGGATCGCCTCTGCTCGACCAAAACATGTTCTGCATTTGCGAGCTTTCGGAATGCTTTGGCTCCAAACAAAACCAAGCGTTCGGCCTCGATGAAACTGGCCAGTTCATACGTCAGCTGCTTGCAAATCCAGCTGCCATGCACTTTTCGCTGGGTGCTCCACATCAAAGACAGCGCATCGACTTGGCATCTGATCTGTGCCGCTTTCCTGGCTGCAAGAGGAAGCCTGCGCCAAGCATCATTTTGCTCGACGATCGATGCATTCAAGCTTCCTCCGACCGGAAACAAGCCTGGGCCATGTCCAACTCGATGCATGGTGGGCTGCCACTGTGGATCGCAGACGAAGTGCAAGAACTCCTGACTGGCAGGTCGCCTTGTGGCGTTGGATCCCACGCCGAACTCAGACAAAATCTTTCTCACGACCTCCTGCGCCTTTGCGTTGTCGCACCCCAGCTTTGCGGGAGGCTTGTTCACGAAATGTGAAGCGAGGATCAAGAAGGCAGCAGTAGATACATAGGTGCCAGAAATGTCCAAGGATTCGGCATCACCAGGAGCGGTAGCCAGTTGCTTGTTCGTTCCGAGCACGTGGTCATCATAGACCCCATTCACTAAGTTTCCTGATATTACAGATTTCCAGGTTTTTCTCAGCCAGGTGGAGATATCGCTCTGCGTAGTTGCAGCCGCCTCTGCAGGGTTCCTGAGTGCATTCAGAAAGTCCTGCAGGCACCAGTAAAGGTTGCATTTGCTGGACCTGTATGGCCGGTCAAACTCCAACAGTCTCACGTCAGCAGGCCCCATCCATCCTCTGCGGCCCAAACATTCATCAATCCAGCGCACCTGCACTCCACCATCATGCAGCCGGTTGCAAGCAAATATCTGCTTGCTTGCTTTGTCTGCAAATGCATGCCACTGGAAAAACTTTGCAAGCCAACAGGACTTGCCTGTCTTGGTTACGAAGAAGGCAAACTTCTTCCCATCATCGCTGAAGTGTAGCGATGAATGCTCAGGCATGTCCTTCAGACAGATTCGTTCACCAGTATGAACATTGTAAATCACACACAGCTGGCCATCTTGCACCAGCCTGAAACATTCATCGTGAGGAATCTCTCGACAGTTTTCTGGGTTTCTGGACGGGTCAGGAGGTCGACTTCTACCAGCAACTGGAGCTGGGGAAGCAGAAGAGGAGGCAGCTGCCATGAATGATTGAACTCCCAGCCCGGAGGTGCCGCGGTCATACAAGTCTATGATACCTCAAGTCCTTGCAAAAAAGCCTTTCCCTCGGACTCAGCATGTCTGTCACAAGCTTACACTTTACACGTCAAAGTCACTGTGTGACTTGACTTGGCCGCAATGCCAATTTGAAACAGCACATGTGTACAAAACTGGCGTTGAATTTACATGCCAAAAGATCCGAAATCAAGCTCGTGCAAGTTTCGAGCCTGTAGCCTGCGGGGTCATTTCACTATACGTATACCCATTGAACGGCCCATTATTTGTACTTGTTTCGATCTATGACTGAGTGAAGGCTTGGGTTCCCCATGAATCATTCTCGCAAGCCTTCCCGCAATCAACTTTAAAGATACGCCATCTTCAAGGCTGATCTTCATCGACCGGAATCGACACAGTTCAGGAACCCAGAACTACACCTCAACTTAATTACTGTTCTTGAACTTAAAATTTAAAATGAAATTCAGGTAACCTTGCAAGCTTAAGCGAAGCACTGAGTCTTTTCAGGCGCGGCAAACACAAACAAATCAACGTGGCTCTCAGGGGCTTGGGAAGGGCACTGTGTTGCGACAAAGCCAGTTCCCAAAATTCCAAAGGAGCCCTGCAACTGTTTTACTTACTGATTGCTACAACGGGTGATGCAACGACAGTCTAATTAATTAAATTAGGGGCTCAGGGTTGACATGAAAGTCGGTTCAATCTTCAGCTTCAAGTCACGGACGGTTGGGGAGTTTAGCGTCTAAGGTTCGGGACTTCCCGCAGGCAAGGGCTGTGCCCGCTTTAATGGCTACCCTGTTTCAGCCCAAGATACTAGGGAATTCCTTCAGTTCAGGCTTGTGAATAGGATTGGGTTTCATGCAACCCCTACAGACTACATGACTTTACTTTTGAACTCTGGGTGTGGAGTAATTTAGTAATCCTACACTGACAACGACCATCCATCGCCTCAATCGGATATCGGCAGGGAGGCGCAAATTTAATGGCTAATCATCCCTGACTTGGCCCAGTAATGACTAGTCAATGTCAACCTTGGAGTGTGAATCGCTGGCGCCTTTCGGAACCAGCTCGCAGCGCAGCACTGCTCGGTGTCTGTAAGGTAGCCGTGCCTGACAAAGCTTACTAACGCAAAGTTTCAGGGCACCTGCCGGGCAGGGGCTAAGGAAGAATTTAGGAGTTTAATTAAGACGGTAATCCCTTCCCCTGAACATTCAACCCCCCCCTAATATAAAAACTGCCGGCCCCCGGAATTTTGCGGTTTCGGGCCCCGCATTCAATTTAAAAGGGACAACATTAAGGGGGGTGGCAGATCTGTATGTGTTCTATTGAAGGAAGACTACCGTAGTACTAAAGACAGCAGAGCTGTAGGGTTTAAGGGTTTAGGGCTCAGGGCTTTATAGAGCCAAAGATTACAGCAGTACTAAAGAGACACGAGAGCTTTAGGGTTTAAGGGTTTAGGGCTCAGGGCTTTAGTTTGGGGCTCGAGGTTTAAGGCTTAGGGCTTTAGTATGGCCTCAGGGCTCCAGGCTTAGGATAGCCAGCAGCTGGGAGTCCGGGTACGTGGGTGCACCGAAACCCCCCCTAATATAAAAACTAAACCTCCGAAAT